GGCCTCAAATCCTCCCATTCTCTGTTTCCCAAGTAGCTAAGATTATAGGCAGGGGACACTGCTGCTGAGCTATCTTTCTTTTTGATAGCTTGACTATTATATGTCTTGGTGAATTCCTCTTTGGGGCTGAATTTTATAGGAGACCTCTATACTATGAGTACTTCGTTTTTCTTTGCTTCCAAATTAGAAAGATATTTCAGCCATTACTTTATATTTTCTGTCTCTTTTCCTCCTTCTGCAGCTGTTATTCTGTGAAGATTTGGACTCTTGATAGTCTCCTCATGCGGGCTTTCTCTATTTTTTTTAAATTCTTCTTTTGCCCTTTCCTCTAACTTTGTAATTTCAAAGTTTTGCCTTCTAATTAATCATCCTTTTGTTTGATCTAGTTTAATGTTTTATCTTTCTATTAAAAATTTTAGTTTATTATATTTCTTTCTATTTTTAAAATTCCCGTTGCTTTGTCTAACTTCTTGCTTTTGGTAATTTCCAACTTTCACTTAAGTTTTCTATTTGATATTGTTATTATTCACTGAACTTAAGAAAATTGTTCTAAATTCTTTATTAGTCATTTCATAGATGTCTTTTGGGTCTGTTACTGGATTTTTTTTTCTTGTGAGGCATAGGTGTAAGGAAGGATTTCCTGGTTCCTGGTTTCTTATGTTGAGTATTTTTCTGTGCATTTGAGGAGACAGCTCCTCTTCTGGCCTTTATAGATATTCTTTATAGATATTCCTTTACTATTGCTTAGCCAGCTGTGGTTCTGAAGAAAAGGCTGGTGATGGTGCTAGACAGGCTAGTTATTTTGAATTCTGTAGTTGGATATAATGTTGGCTGATTCTATGATAGTTTCTTGGCAAATCATAATTCCATTATTTGGGATCTGCACTTGGGTAGGACTTTAGACTTGGCTCCAAGTTTTGGCAAAGTTGCTATTCAGTATTGGCGGATTGGAGGCTATATTCCTGATAAATGCATAGGTGAGGACTGCTTTGCTATCAGGTTGGTTCCATGGGCTGAGCATTTGATTGAGTTGAGGTCAAACAATTAGGCCCTGTCTTCTCTGAAATGTTGGGAAGTAGGAATCTTTCTGCCTTTAGAGAGTCTTAAGGGGGCTTTTTAGCTAAGAGGAGCCACTTTTTTTTTGTGTTCAGGCAGGTCTATTCCTATGAAGGTATAGTTCTGGTGAAGTGTGCAGAGATGGATGTTGTCGTTGGTGTTGGCTATGAGGCTGAGCATGGAGACTCATTCAGTGACTCAAGCTAGGTTGAACAAAGATGATCAGTTTAGCTTTGTGGATAGGATAGGAAGTTAGCTGTTATCTCTGATTAGGAGCCATAGCTAGTAGGAACACAGAGTAGCTACTACAGTCCAAGTAGTAGTCCCTTTAATTTGTATCCTTTCTTTGTTCTTACCTGACCTTGGTGGTTTGGTTGTGCCACTGTCTCTAATATTCCCTGTGAGGTGAAACCAGAGTGGATTTCCTGGGGTATCTCCCAGTATGTTAAAGATGCTGGATGAGGGGTTGGGGATTTGGCTTAGTTTAAGATTTTCCTAGCAAGTACAAGGCCTTGAGTTCAATCAGAAAAAAAATGCTGGATGACTGTCTTCCCCCCTCAAAGAAACCATGGATCTAGGGAAATCCTCTCTATTATGTTAACAGGACCAAAGGGCCTTGGTAATAATTTTCGAAATAATTGGATTTTTCAGAAATCTGATCTGTAGATAGTTAAAAATTGAGCTTTCTGTGGTGGAGAGTGGAGCCTGAGACTTCTGATTTCACTATTTAGCTGATATCATCCCTTCTGGGTTTCTATATTCAAGTTTTACATATAGAACCCCTCCATGACTACGTCCTTCATATTTTCGTATGTGTAGCCTGAAATGTTTGTTTATGTTTAATTTCCTGACTATATCCTTCATATTTTCATGTGTATAGCCTGAAATGTTTGTTTCTTTATGTTTAATTTCATTCTCAGTTTTATATTCTTCTCTTTTTTATTTCTTGCTTGTACTTCAGATAACTCAAGTTTATCCATTTAATGTCAGGGTTATGCTGCTATCACCTAGTACCATTTAAGAACATTTTCATCATCCTAAAATACTCTTAGCCTTACCCATCAACTCTTCTATTCCCTTTAATCCTAGACATCCATCAATCTACTTCCTACCCTTATAGATGTTTTTCTTTATTTTTATTTGTTTAGTTTTAAATTTTTATTGTTATTATAAAGGTGATTCACAGAGGGGTTATTATTATATAAGTCAGGTAAAAAGTACATTTCTTGGATGGTAAGGGGAAACAAAGAAGGAGGCAACAATGCTTGATAAGAAATGCACTCATTACCTTGCCCATATAATTGTAACCCCTCTGTATGGTATTTTCATAATAAAAAAAAGTGCATTTCTTTTTTGATAGTATAACCTGTTCATTGGCTCTCTTTCATGTTTTCCATCCCCACCCACAAGTTGTATAGTTCATTTTCAGCATAGTATCCAGTGAGTACACTTGCTTTTTTTATTCATCCTTTGTCCCTCCATTTCCTTTGGGATATTTCATATAAAAAGAGTCACATTTTGCACCTTTTTCTTATTCAGAACTTTTTTTTTTTTGGTCGGTTGTGGGGCTTGAACTCTGGGCTTGGGCCCTGTCCCTCAGCTCTTTAGCTCAAGGCAAGTGCTCTACCACTTGAGCTACAGCGCCACTTTCGGTTTTCTAGTGGTTTATTGGAGATAAGAGTCTCATGGACTCTCCTGCCCGGGCTCTCTTTGAACCCCAATCCTCAGATCTCAGCCTCCTGAGTAGCTAGGATTACAGGCGTGAGCCACCGGCAGCCGGCCTCAGAAGGTTCATGTTTTTATTTAAATGTTTCATTTAAATGTTTATGTTTCAGCATACATGTATAATCTATTAGTTATAATATAAAAATATTGTACTTAATTATGAGAACACTTAATTCTCCAGGAATAAATGTTATTTCTTCTTTTGCTTTTTTTATTTCTATTTTATTTCCTGTCCATGCATACTATTCCTATATTCCTGAAATATATGTACCCTGGTTTGAAAATCACAGATACATTCTCACACTTGGCTAATAGCACTGTCTTTTAAAGTATGACATGCCTTTTAAAAAGAACTAGTAGCAACTGCTCTCAACTTAACCTGAGCAAGCTACAGGATCAGCTAATGGTTGCCTTTCTTCCGGACCTGTGCTTCTAGATTGGTCATAGGTTTATCTTCCTTTAGTGTTGTCCAGAACAGTCCTGTTAGCAGAAAACAGAAAGAATCGATCTCTTGTAAAAATGTGATGTGAATTGCAATTGTTTAAATGAATCTTTTGCTAGGTATGTCAATTAGCAAGCAACATAAAGATTATGAGTTTTATTCTATATAGATCACTTTGGTTCACAAATGGGATTGCACATAGCATAACAGATCTGTATTCATATAACCTTATTCTTGATTCTTTAGTCAACTTACTAGGGAGAGGGAGCCAGTCTTTGTTTTGTATTCCCTTTTCTTTAGACAGGCAAAATTTAGTACTCACTAAGTGAATTTCAGATTGTTGCTAGGTATATTATTATTTACATGAACATGGTTAACTTCGTATTCAAAAGTATAGCCTACTTGGTGGCTATATACATTTTTGTAAATGTTTGTGCTTACATAGGTTTTCATCTGTATGTGTTTTGTGTTTTCAAAGTTCCTTTAAAAATTTAAATATGCAGAACTAAGATTTCTTTCTCTTAAGTCTTTAAACTTAATAAAAAATTGAAATTCCAACAAATAAAAAAAAACATAGTTAAAATACTTACACAGAAAACATCTTAGTAACTTTCTTTTGGGAGGGTAGTTCTGGGCTTTTAGCTTGGGTCTTACATTTTCTAGGCAGGTTCTTTACCATTGAGCAATTTCCCCAGCTCAGCCCCCAAATAACTTTGTATACATATGGTTGTGTGCTGGTCATGGAGCTTGAACTCTGGGTCTGGGTACTGTCTCTAAATTTTTTGTTGTTGTTTAAGGCGAGCACTCTATCACTTGAGCCACAGCTCCATTTCTAGCTTTTTGGTAGTTAATTGGAGACAAGAGTATCATGACCTTTCCTGCCTGGGCTGACTTCAAATTATGATCCTTAGAATTTAGCCTTCTGAGTAGCTAAGATTATGGGCAAGAGCCATCAGCACCCAGGCTAAATGATTTAATATTTTGTATTCCAGGATCGATCGATAGATCTATCTATCTATCTATCTATCTTTTTCCCCCTCAGGTATTAAATGCTTGAGCCTTGAAATGAAGTCATTTTATATATCTTGAATACGCTTTGACAAATGAGCATGTGCGACTTGTCACAAAATTTATAATGCAGAATATTGGATTTTTTTAGTCACCGATCCTTTGAACGTTATATAGGTCTGATAATCATTTATTTCTGAATGTGGATATAGTGCTCTTGATTTGGGATCTCAGTATCAGTATAATAACAGAGTATATAGCAACTTATTTTAGACTTATTTTAGACTTTTATTATTGAATTTCATAGTTCCTGAAATCATCTTTTCTCTTACATTTTTAATATAAAAAGCTACAGGTCAGAGAAGTGACTGACTTTATACAGTATAGTAGTTAATAGAGGCAAACCTTGAACCTGTGTTTCTTGATTCCAACTAAGATTGCTGTCTCTGTCACTATGGTTACTTGCTACTTAAAGTTTGGATGTTTCAGGAGAAGTTGACATTGTTTCTGTGTTGTTTTTGTAATGAACGTTGCCATTCAGAAATAATAATAACTTACAAGTTTGTTTTTACTCTATTAGTAGGTAGTCAATGACGTAAGTGCAGTGTAATAGAACAATATAGAAAAGCAGATCCCATAAGTTGACTAGAAGTTTAATATAATAATTTCAGTGTGTTTTATCCTTTATCTTTTGTTCATTTAATTATGGCAGATTAAACTAAACATTATAAAAGCATGAACGTAGGTATAATTTTTTTTTCTTTCCCAGACAGATACTGATTATGTGCATGGTGTTGTAACCAACCTGGAGAAAGAGTAAGTCCTTCCTAAAATGGAAATTGAAACATTTTTGTTGCTATTATCTTTCGATTTTTTGCTATAACAGCATGTCTTTATTCATTTCTCTGTGAAGTTCATTGCTCTTTGAACTGTCAATGATTTTTCAAATTGTCATTTAAAAAATTCAGTGATCTGAGGGGATAAAATAGGCATATTGCATTTGTAGAGGAGATTTAAATATCATATGTATCTAACACTGTTAATTTAAAGTCTATTCTTGAAAGCAGTGAATGTGGAGAGTAATATGAGATTGTTTAAAATCTTTTACCCTCTATCAAGTAATTTTTTAAGCTGTCAGGACAGCTATTATTGTAATCATTATAGACTTATGTGCTGTAAACCATGTCTAAATCTGCTCTGTTTGGCAAAGATTGGTTACCAATTTCCTGTGGGCAGGGATCATAGTAGGTAACTTATAGAAAGCTTAGTACCTTTCAAGCATTACTACTTTTTATAATGTTGCCTTAGTTGTTTTAACAATATAAAGATTAGAATTGATTCAACTCTAGATTTAAAGTAATTTGACTCTTTATCAAAATGCTAAAACTGGAGACTTAAAAAGGATCCATAGTTTATCACCCGAGGTGGAAGAAATAACTGTATTATCAAAGCTCATAGAATTCACAAACTTTATAGACCATGATAAAAGCAATTTGCCCCATGAAGGTTGGAATGTGTTTGTGACTTTATAACTATCTCACAAGACTGTGAAATTTATGTAATCACTTAATCTCAATAAAAAATTTTTAAAAATCCATAGTTTAGGATTAACTTGTAATTTGTTAGATTTTCTTTAAGTGCTAAGTTTTTTTGGTAGTCTGCATAGAACACAGTATAAGGAACTAGGATAATAGTTCCTGATTTTCCTTCCTAGAGACCACTTGGCCAGGTTTGTGAACATATGTAGTTCTTTTGTTGATTTGCTTCTTTCTAAATATGCAGGCAAGGCCAGGAGAATAAAAGTACAATTAAGCACCAAGAAATATTGTGCAAAGGCAGATACATACTCATTTTGTGGAGAAGTGAAAAATGAGTTTGAGTCAGTGAGTTGAATTCAAAACTGATTAACTTTTAAGTAGTTATGCAAAGGAGTTGCCATTTAATAAAGCAGGTTATGAGTACAATGCATCTTGATTAATGTCACTCCTTTCAACATTCTCACCTATTAAGAAGATGGAGGGAAGATCTTCTTAATTTTATAGGATATACATTGGATTCTTGACTGCATCCCTTGACCCCATTCCATCCCTTTCAAAACCTGCATCCTAGTGTTTATTTTGTTGAACTCTGACTGCTTTTCTAAGGGATTAAATTATTTGAGTTCTCCCTTGAATCGATCATATGTCAGTCAACACATTTGTATGCACTTGCGTAACACCCAACATATTTACTTACAAGTTTATACGCTGAATAGAGCTTCCACATGGAAAGGAAAACATCACCCTTTATCTCTCTGGGCCTGGCTGGCTGACTTGAGATTCCACCTCTCCCAATTAGAGTGGCTGTCACCAAGAAACAATAACACTTGCTAGTGAGGATGCAGCCAAAAGGGAACCCTAATATACTGTTGGTGGGAATGTAAACTTGTTCAACCACTCTGGAAAGCAGTATGCACGTTCCTCAAAAAAATTAAACATAGAACTACCCAATGATCCAGCAATTCCATTCCTGAACACTTATCCAAAAGATTCCAAACCAGCATACAGTAAAGCCACCAGCACAGACATGTGCATTGCATCGCTATTCACCATAGCAAAGGTATGGAATTGGTCCAGATACCCCTCAGTGGATGAATGGATCAAGAAAATGGGCATATATACACATATGGAACTTCTCTCTTCCATTAGGAAGAATGATATAGTACCATTTGTAAAGAAATGGGTATTTATAATGTACCATGTGATTTTTTTGTTCTTTGTATGTTCCTCCCCCCATGGTATAACCCCTGATTTCACTGTATTTGATGTTGGTGCCCTGCATCTTGTATATACACTTCTCTAGTTTGGAGAGGAGAAGGGAAAAAATAAAATGCTTAAGTAGGGATACAGGTTGACCCATTGTAACAATGAGATGCACAAGACACTGTTGAAAAACGAACTTTGCAATTTAGGCAGGGGTGGGGGGTGGAGGTGGGGTGAGGGGGAAGTGTGGTTGTGGAGGTGGGAGGGAAGGGATGGTAGGGGAAAAACAAAGGACTAGGAAACAATGTTTGATAGGAAATGTACTCATTACCTTGCTCATGTAACTGTAACCCCTCTGTACAGTATTTTTACAATAAAAAGTATATAAAAAAGAAATGGTTTCAAAACTTTTAAAAAGGTTTTCTCAGTAGGGGGAAAACAATGGAGGGGTTAACAATGTTCAAGAGGAAGTGTACTCATTACCTCACTCATGTATCTGTAACCCTCTGTATAGTATCTTTACAATAAAAAAAATAAATAAAAATAAAAAGGTTTTCTCAGCAAAAGCCCTTTCTAGCCCAAAGGGCTAGAGAATTCTTTATTGTAGGGGGTATCTGTGCATATGGAATATTGGACAAATTCTGAGTGCCTATCCATAAGCTGTTAAGGGTGTTATTGCTCATCAGTTAGGACAACCACAGTGTCCTCAGGAAGGATGTAATTGTCCCCACTTGAGAGGAACTAATTTAGAATGCCCTGAATACTATAACCTACAACTAAAGTGTCCTGAAAATAGAACCTTGAACTTTGCATGAACAATGTATTTGGATGCACACAAATATTCATTTGTTGTCTTTCTTTAATTCTTTATTTCCTGTGAGAACTTCATATGTTTGCTTTAAATTCTGATTAGTTTTAGGAATATAATGCCTACAGTTTGCCCAGGGTTTTTAATTCTACTTTAAAGATAATGGCATCTCTACACTGTTTTTAAAAGCATTGTTAGAAAAAAAAACAAAGGCAAAAACTTAGGCTGTTACAGAAACCTGCATTTTCTAGTAGATGATATCAGTCAGGGATGAACTACTTCACCGAACACTTTGTGATCACATAACCTGCTATACTTACCTACAGATGTGTTATGTTAGATCCAGTACATTGAGCATTAGACAAATGAAATCTCATAGAATTTAAATAACTTAGTTGACCTTTCTCACGATAGATTTTCTAAAGAAATCAGCTCTGGTTTGGTGGAAATAATATCGCCTCCTGAAAGCTATTACCCTGACCTGACAAACCTGAAGGAGACATTTGGAGACTCTAAAGAAAGAGTAAGGTGAGCTGTATGTCATTTAAAATACTCTGTTCATGTGAGTTTGATGTCTACAATAGTTGTTGTTCATCAAAGCTTAGAGTATTTTGGGATTAAGTTTGGGAAATACTCTAGGTGGCCTCATTACTTTTAAGTTCAGGATTGCTTGTGAAATATATTCTGGAGGAATTTTCTTAATTTGAATAAGAGCATAGTGTGAGCCTTGATATTACTGTGTTTCCTTTTCCTTTTCTTTCTTTTTTTTTTTTGTGCCAGTCCTGGGTCTTAAACTCAAGACCTGGGCACTGTTCTTGAGCTGCTTTTTGCTCTACCACTTGAGCCACAGCTACTACCCTTCTGGCTTTTTCTGAGTAGTTTATTGGTAGTTCAGAATCTCAAGGACTTTGCTCAGGCTGGCTTCAAATTCAGATCCTCTGAGTAGCTAGGATTAGAGGCATGAGCCACTCACTGGTGCCTGGCTTCTTACTGTGTTTTCTTGAAATGACTTAGAACCATTGTTACTCAACACTAGTCAGTGTGTTTCTATAGGCCATCAGAAATTCTCAGAAAACTGGTATTATAAGTTTAATATTTTTTAGCATGCAGTTCATATTTATTCTTTGTTCATTACATACACCTATTTTAGGCGGTACTGATTTTTTGCTGGGGAGGTGTGGGCTGGAACTCTGGGCCTTGTACTTTTGCTCAGCATTTGTGCAAGTGATGCTTCACTACTTGAGTCATGCCTCCATCCATTTTGCTGGCTAACAAAGATAAGAAATATCTATGAAATGTTTTTTTCTGCCTGAGCTGACTTTGAACCAAAATCCTCCAGGTCTAAGCCTCCTGAAGAGCTTTTTGTAATCTTCTGGATTGTAGGTGTGAGCCACCAGTGCCCAGCTAGTACTAGGATTTTGAACTCAGGGTTTTGTGCTTGCCAGGGAGATGCTATACCACTTGAACCACACACCCAGCCCCTTTTTTGCTTCAGTTGGGGTCTCAAATCTGTGCCCAGAGTTAGAGTATGATCCGCCCATTTATTAGTCTTCCTGTATAGCTTTGATGACAGGTGCAGTCAACATGCCCAACTTTTTATTGGTCTCATTAGCTTTTTATACAGTCTGGCCTTGAATCATGATACTCATGATTGTTACTTGCTGGGTAGCTTACTTGTGTGAGCCACTGTGCCCAGTTGAATACATACCATTGTACTCAGCTCAGTGTGTATTAAGTGAAACCTGTTTGCAGAACGCAGCCCTGGACACCAGAGTAACAGTCTTTAAAATGTAAAGGCACTAGATCAATGAAATATCAAGAGGCTACTAAAAGAAAGACCTATGATCAAGGAAGTTTGGAAAATAAGTGATTTTTTTTTCTTGGACTGATAGGGAATAGTTCAGAGGTTGAACACTTGCATAGCATGTATGGAGCTATTGTTAGCACTACAAAAACAAAAAAAAAGTTACATCTTTCCTACTGGATCTTCTAATGGCTCTAATGTTCTAAAACAGTTCTAGAAGAGGGTTACATATACAGTGTTTTCCATACTGACTTTATATGATACTCCTGTTTTATTCATACATCTTGAGAATTAGTGTTCTTAGGAATATACCCTCATTGAGGCTTCATTAGGGAAAATGAATTTTCTTTGTCCTATCTTGTATATGTTTATTACAATAGACTCTTGAGGCCAATGCATTCAATCTTATTTTACTAAATTTGAAGCTGATTTTTTTTTTGCCAGTCCTGGGGCTTGAACTCTGATCCTAGGTGCTGTCCCTGAGCTCCTTTTGCTCAGGCCAGCACTCTACCACTTGAGCCACAGCACCACTTCCAGCCTTTTCTGTGTATGTGGTGCTGAGGAATCGAACCCAAGGCTTCATGCATGTTAGGCAAGCATTCTACCACTGAGCCACATTCCCAGTCCTAAAGCTGATTCTTAACTTATCTTGTGAAACTATTTCAGATGGAGAACAAAGCAAAACTTGGATTATTGTTTTCTAATGATGTATGCTCAGGAAAAGGGTGTATATTACATTCAGGTAAGTGTGTGTTTTTTTTTAATGTTTTTCACATCTCTAAAGAAAAAGTATTACTACTAAGGGCATATTTTCATTGAAACAGGAAGTTTCACAACCATGATAAATCCTTCTAAGCAATATATGTTGCCAATTCTATCTTAGAGAGCAGAGGCTCTCCATGGTAATTGAGAATGTGGCCTTCAAGGTCCTTGGCTCAGCAAGTACAGACACCATCACCTAGCTGGTGGAGTGAACATGTGCACAGCTCACTGAGTCTTGCCTTCTCTTTTGCTCCCCTCCACTTTTGCTCTTTCCTTCTTCCTCTCTCCACTGTTACAGTGAACTCAGATTTAATTGTTTCACAAGTTTTAAAGAATTTTCTTACAATAATTTTAGTGGTCTCAAGGTAGAATAATTGGTGTTAGGCTACAGTAGTTTCATTTATATAAAGGTAATAGAGTTGGCATTCACTTGGCATCCTAATTTTGACATTATGGCCCTAATTCTATGCAAGCACAATAAATGTGTTTCTTTGACCTCAGTTTATCTCCCTTCCCTGTGAAGTTAGGCTGTTTTCTTCTCTCCTCCTCTCCCAGCAGCTCCCCAGCCATTTCTTTTTTGATTCAGGGACCTAGAGTATCTTCTGACTACTCTCATCAAAATATCCTAAGAAAGGATCTAAGAACTGTGGGTTAGCTAGTTAGACAACACTTTAAAGACTATTTTGGACACTTGTAGCTACTAGCCACTACTCAGGAAATCAAGATAAAAGGGTCACAGTGTGAGGCCATCCAGGGCAGAAAAGTTGGAGAGACTTTGTCTGCAATCAACATGCAAAATGTTAGAGTAGTGATATGATTCAAATGGTATGGCACCAGCCATGAGTAGTCAAGCCCTGGTACTGGTACACATGTGCGCTTACACACACAAACACACGCACACAACCACACTTAGGAAGTTGTTACTTTTTTCAAATATCATTTTTCTTAATGACTTAAGCCTAAATCCCACAATTTGAATTTTTATTTCTTTAACCAATGAGAGTTTATCCCTTGTTCAAAATGTAAATTCCCTTGAGTATGGCAGTAAGGCTTCCAGTTCTTATTTTTTTTACTGTAGACATCCTTAGATCCTTTCTTAGGAGATGATTTTGATGAGAGTAGTTAGAAGACACTCTGGGGCCCTTAATCAAAAAAGAAATGGCGAAACTTCAGGGAGAGGAAGAGAGCAGGAAACAGCCTGACTTCACAGGAAAGGAAGATAAATTGAGTTTAGAATATCATTATGACATTTGACATAGGCTCAGTGTATATCAGCTTCCCAAGATGATAAACTTAAAAAGAGAAGGAGTTATTTTGACTTACAGGTTTGCAGGTTTCAGTCTATGACTGGTTACCACACCACCATCTTTTGGACCTGTGGTAAGGTTTCACATCAAGGCAAGAGTGTGTGCAAAAACCACCCACTTCATGACTAGAGAGAAAATAGAATGAAGGAGCAGCTAGGCACCTACAATCCCCTGTTAGGCATGAACTCAGTGACCTAAAGACTTTTAGCCAGACCCCCACCTCTCAAAAGTTCTATTGTTTATAATTTTAGCTCTTCAGTTTGTTTTTAACCTATTTTGAGTTATTTTTGTATATGCTATAAAATATGGGTCCAGTTTTACTCTTCTATATGGACTATCCAATTTTTTTCAGCACTCTTGAAAAAGACTGTGCTTTCCTATTGTGTCTTTTTGGCAAACTTGTGGAAAATCATTTGTCCATATATGTATGTAATGGTTTCTTTCTGGGCTTTATTTCACCCAGTTAACCTGTATATCTCTTCTTATATTGTATACTAGAATACTATTATATCATAGTATATTTAAAATCAATTAGTGTGAGGTTTCCAACTTTATACTTTTCTAAGATTTGGCTATGGAGTCCCTAGAGATTTCATATAAAGTTTAGGGACTTTTTTCATTTCTGTGAAAATTCCATTAAGATTTGAGTAGGGATTACATTAACTATGTAGGTCACTTTCAGTAATGTGGACTTTTTAATAGTAAGTCTTACTATCCATGTATACAGAAATTTATTCATTTATGAAAATGCATAAATATCCGATGAGACTTTATCTGAAAATCAAGCTAAAAGCAAAAGGACTGAGCCAGACTCTGGTGGCTCATGCCTGTAATCCTAGCTACTCAGGAGGCTGAGATCGAGAATTGCAGTTCAAAGCCAGCCTGGGCAGGAAAGTCCGTGAGACTCTTATCTCCAATTAACCACAAGAAAACCAGAAGTGGTGCTGTGGTTCAAATGGTAGAACGCTAGCCTTGAGCTGAAGAATTCAGGGAGAGCACCCAAGCCCAGTGTCCAAGACACACGACCAACCGAAAAAAAAAAAAAAAGACTGGGAGGTATGGCCTAAATGGAAGAGTACTTACTAACAAGCAGGATCCCTGAGTTCAGTTCCCTGTACTGCTTCTTCCTCCCAATAAGGGGAGGCCCCTTGTGTGTTGGGTCCTTTTCTCTGTCCTGTTTCCTATTTTTTCTTTTCTTTTTTTTGTAACTCTGGAAACTTGATTATGGTGTTTATTAGTGTTGGTGTCTTTAGATTTAGCATAGTAGAGAATTTATATGTCCATTTTCCATTTGTATTTGATAAGGTTTCAGCCATTATTTCTTCAAATGGGATGTTTTTTCTTTATATTGTTTTACGGTGCCCATAGTTCCCTTATACTATCATTTTTTAAATTCTTTTTCCGTCTGTTCCTCTAAATCATTCATTTTGTAAGTTTTGTCTCTTAAGTTTGCTGATTCTTTCTTCTACCTGGGTAGGTCTGTTGTTAAAGATCTTTACTGAAAGTTTCAGGTTTTCTTTTCTTTTTTTTTTTAGGTTTTATTTTCTTTATATATCTAGTTTCTGTATGCTTCTCCTCCATAGTTTATGTCTGTGGATGCCGTCAGACACCATTTTTCATATTTAGCTGTCCTTTTCAATTCACCAAGTATCCTATGACAGTATTTTTTGTTGTTATTTTTGGGATTTTTGCATTCACAAATTCACTGCTTATTTTAGCCTTTGCAGTCTGATTTTACTGCAAGGCATTATTTTAGTCATCTTATGAACAGATTATTGAGCCCTTTAAAGCCTTTTCTGGCACTCTGTCCTCTGATTTCTGTTGTGGTGCTCCCTCTCCTGTTCTTTGATGGTACTGAGGCCTCTGATGGTATACTAAACCAGAGTACTGGAGCTCTCTCTGCCTAGTGTCTGTTGGTACTGAGGCTTCTGGTGGTAATAGCTTTTGTTCTTAATTTCTAGTTGGGGCCTTTCCTGTCACTGCTTGGTGCCCTATTTCTGTTACTGTTTGGATTTAGGAAAGAGAGAAGTCCCTTGGGGTGTACCCCCAGAATCCAAAGACATTGAATGTGTTACTATCTTCTCTCCTATAGAGAACTCAGCAGTTGGTGTTTCTTCCCAATCATGCTGATTCCCTTCTCAAGGAAAGGGGCTCTGGCTATTGAATGCTCTAATTTTATTTAATAATTTAAAATATATTTAAAATAGTTGTACAGGGCTGGGAATGTGGCTTAGTGGTAGAGTGCTTGCCTAGCATGTATGAAGCCCTGGGATCGATTCCTCAGTACCACATAAACAGAAAAAGCCAGAAGTGGCACTGTAGCTTGAGTGGTAGAGTGCTAACCTTGAGCAAAAGGAGCTCAGAGACAGTGCCCAGGACTTGAGTTCAAGCCCCAGGATTGGTTAAAAAAAAAAGTTGTTCTTACAATAAAAAATAAATAAAAATTTAAAAAAAGTTGTTCAAAGAAGTTTCAGCTCAACATGTTAATTTATGTGGACAATACATCTGGATCCCTGTCACCCTTCCATCATTCTCTTCCCATATCTCTGTCAACCTCATCTCTTCATGTTTCCTAGCTCCATTTTCATATATTAATGACCCACTATTCTTTTGCCCATTTATCCACCTCCTTTCCTTAACTCCCACCTGCCTCAGATGTATTTCACCTTCAGTATTCATTTTGTTATACTGTTAATTGTTCAAAGGGGTTACACCAGACATATGGTGTATATGTTTTCATATACATTTATATTTAGATTGAACTTGCACGGAACACTCTAAATTGTCTCTGGAGGAAGGAAGGCTGGATTTTCTTGTCCCATGATCTTGGTGATGTCTAAGATAATCCATTTATAGCTACAAGAGACTATACATACTGATAACCTGGTTTTATATTATTTAACATATTGTAGATACCATAAAAGGGCATACAATCTTTAATAATTTCTTAAAGTGTTATTCAGACATTGTAGTAATTGTTGTTAGTGATTAGATTGCTTCTACATTTTCAGCTGCGCCTAAGATAAATTAATGAATTTTCTTTAGTGCTGTTAGTTGTACATTCTGTAGGAGCCCTTCCATGAGTCTGTTCGGCTCTGCCTACAAAATTCGAAAACGATTTAACCTAAAAAGTCCTTAAATCCTGTTAGTTTTGAATATTTACAAAGTGGTTACCTGTAGAAAACTTGGCGGAGAGATGGGGAAGCTAAGATTACCCCAGTCTTTGTAGAACTTGGTCCCTAGAGATGGGACTTTATGGTTGCATGGGTGATGGGGGAGGAGTGTTACAATATAATAACTGGTTCTTTAAATGGGCTGAGGATGTAGCTGAGTGGGAGAGCCATTGCCTAACACATGTGAAGCGCTGGTTTGATTTCCTCACACTTCTCCCAACCCCCCAAAACAGTGCATGTCAAAAGGCAATATAGAATTGTTACCTTGAATCACCAAGGACATATATGTAAAGGGAAAGAAAAATACAAACTGTCCTAAAACCATGCTGATGACTTGGAATAAAGTTTCTAGGGACAGCTTCATGTGCTGCTTTACTATAAATGACTTGAATTAGAATACTCTTCCAAAGACGTGATTCAGGCACTTAAAAGACTGCTGTGGACTCCTTACAGTGTCACATAATGAGGCATTCTATCAGTGGCCCCAGCTGGGTGATGCCAAGAGAGACAGCAAATTCCATGTTGCCAGCTCTTCTCTTAGTTACCACCAGGAGCCGTTCTCTTCCAGTTTCAGTATCCATTAGTTATTTTTGCTGAGGCCTATTATTTTAGTAGAGAGTGCAGGTAGCAATATTCTAATTCTGTAATTTCTAAGGCTGTCCAAAACTGAGTTCTTCTATAAAGAATTTTTTCTCTTAATTGTTTGGTTACTTATGATGAAAAAGAGTTATAAATGCTTAGTTCTATCTATTAGTTTTTTTTTAATTGGTACTCTAGTAGTCAGTAGTGGCCATTTATTTTAATTTTTTTTCCATGCATTCCTCATCAGTGATTTTAATTTAAAAAGGTGGGTGGGAGAAAGCTCCTGAGTGAGAAGAATCTCACTGGTGTCCTTCATTGAGACCAAGTAGTTCCCAGTAGAGGGCTAAGTATTGCAACTGCCAAGGGCATAGTGTTTTCAACATGGCTTCACGACCCTGCATCCTGAGACAAAAATGAGTCTTTCTCCTGTTTCACCTTAGGAGGAATGTATCTACTAAGAAGAGATGCCAAGCTCTGTTTTTCACAGATCATTTTACTTTGAGCTTCTTTTTCTTCTTGTCAGGATCAGCTACCACAGCATGTCTGGTTAGACTTCATTTTGCCATAGCCATTTGTTCACACACTAATGGGTGATTTTCCTCATGGAAAGAGAGAATATGACTCTGGAGAATGAACACAGTTGTGTAGGTCCGACCATAGCCTTCTCTTGGACACACATCCCTTTCTGAGATGTGAGTTTTCATGTGTTACTTTGTATTATCATCTCTGGCATACTTCACATGTTATTACCTTTATAGGTTTCTCTCACATATTTTAGAAGTTCAGTCTGTGTTTTTGTCTTCGCGTGTCATTTTAACCCAGTGGTGTGAAGCAAGGGGCTTCCCACATCCTGGGGACATCTGAACAGAGGCTCATTGGTATACTGTCACTGATGTATTTCCAGCTGCTGGTATTTCTTTTTTTGGGTCCGGTTGTGGGGCCTGAACTCTGGGCCTGGGCACTGTCCCTCAGCTCTTCAGCTCAAGGCTAGCACTCTACCACTTGAGCCACAGAGCCACTTCTGGCTTTTTTGCTTATGTGGTGCTTAGGAATCGAACCCAGGGCCTCATGCATTGCAAGGCAAGCGCTCTACCACTGAGCCACCTTCCCAGCCCCAAGCTGCTGGTATTTCTTTACAACCTTCTTGCATACTGTTTTTGCTGGGTTTTTGTTTGTGTTCAGCCTGTTTCTTCAAGTTGGATTTTGTGTTGAATCTCGGTCACAGCCACTAGCTGTACAACTCACCATCTTCCAGGCCTCGTAGTTAGCGCAGCAGTCCTGGAAGGAGCGGGTGAACCTTCTAGTGAATGTGAGGAAGGGAGGATGGCAGATCTGGGCTCCAGCCAGCTATGGTCTAAGATGACACCACCCCTGCCATGGTGCGTGGCTCCAGGGTACCTATCTCCCCACCCCAGTCCCCTTCTAGTTTCACTGGACCAAGTCACTTACCATACCCTCTGTGAGATTTGGCGCACTTAGTAATGCATCAGCACATTGCAATTATTCTTAGTCATGTTCACATTGATACGTCATAATCAAGTGGGAGCTGCTTCACATCTACTTTATGTCCTTCCTGTGTAAGTCCTCTGATCTCTGATAACTTCTTTGTTGACATATATAGCTTGTTCATTTCCTGTCCCAGATCTGCAGTCAGTCACTTCCTGAAGGAGCCCCACTGTCCTTGGAGGCTGTGGTGTAGGCTTGTGAGGTGCTATTTCCTTGTCCTTGCCTCTATCAGTTTGAGCAATAAAAAGGGTATTTTTTTCAAAAGCTTTTATTGATATTTTCAGTTCATATATAAAGTTATTAGAATCTTTTAAATTTTAAATATGTATTTGGTTTTCCCTTACACTGAAAGTCTTGTTTTATTTTTAAAAAAAATAACATCCTGATAAAACAATTTTTTTTCTGGTGTCTCTAAAATACAGTGTCACTATTGAGAAGATTACTAAACTTTTTTTGCTTTTCCCCTTTACGATATATTTCTGTTACAAATATATGCACAGTACCACATGTGAAAATGATTTCACCTGAGAATTACCTGAGTAATTCTTTATCCTGTGTGACCATGCCACCAACTTGATGTTAAAACTAGTTCCACTTATTTTAGTTTATATTCCCTTGTTAGGGTTGTTTTCTTCCTTCTTAGCTATGTAAAACAATAGCATTCCAAAGATGAAGCTTGCGTAAAGCAAGTTATATTCTCACTCATCTCACTTTGATCCCTGTCTCCCTTCACCTTGTTTCCTTTCACCCCCGTTAGTTTTTATTCTCTCCTTGCACTTAAACATTTTGAAGTAAATTCATATATAGAATAAGCCCTTTCTCTGGTACTATGTTCTGTAGAAACATTATTTATTTATTTTGGTAGTATCAGGGTATGGACTCAAGTCCTCACATGTGATAGACAGGCACTGTACAATGAAGCCATACCTCTAGCCCCTGGAAAGTGTTTTGCATTTTGATATTTAGCTTCTCTCTGTAAACTACCAATCACTAATGAGAGATGTGTTAGAATTTTTCAGTGATTTGCCATGATGTCTGAGAAGCACTTAGATTCCCTAATACCTTGCATATAAGTGTGCATAGCAGCTCTATTTGCAATAGCTCCTAACTGCAGATCAATCCCCCCAGTGTGCTTCAGAAAGTGGCTTGTTAAACTATTACTCATCCATAGGAAGGCTATTAAACAAAAGAAAGTATTGACGCACCAAATTGGATCCCAAGGGTATTAGTCCTACCATAAACAGTCTCGATAGGTTATAAACTATGTAATTCCATAAATAGTTCTACTTATGTTTTTTGATGGTGTTGCTGTTTCTGTTTTCAGTTGAAGTCTCCATGTAACTCAGATTGGCCTCTAGCTCGAGAACTTCCTTCCTCAACTTCCTGAGTGCTGAGATTACAGACCTGGGCAACTAGGCCCCACTATATAGGATTGTTAATTTGGCAAAAGGGTAGTGATGGAGAATAGTTGCTAATCTCCAGGTGTTGGGAAGTTGAGGCAGTAAGTAAAGTGGCAGAGGGGATATAAACAGGCAGCCCAAAGGATCTTCAGGACAGGGCTTCTCTATGTCCTTGTTGTGGTGGTGGTCACACAAATTTACATATATGGTAAAATTGCATAGAACATACACAGAACTAATTAGAGTAAAACTGATGACATTTGAGTAAATGAATTTTGTATCTGAGTGCTGGCAGGGATCTCTTCTGTGAGTATGCTGGAAGATCTGGATGATAGATATTCAGGACTTCACTGTATTGTTTCCTACAGTTACATGTGAATCTATATGTGTATATATATGTGTATATGTGTGTATATATGTATATATACATATATAACAATATTCTATACAATGTATTATATATATGTGTGTATATATATATATATAAAATTTGGTGCTAGTCCTGGGGCTTGAAATCAGGGCCTGGGCGTTGTCCCTAAGCTTTTTTTTTGCTCAAGACACTTAACCACTTGAGCCACAATTCTACTTCCAGCTTTTTAGGTAGTTAATTTGTGGTAAAGAGTCTTATGGGCTTTCTTACCTGGGCTGCCTTTGAACAATGATCCTCAGCTCTCTGCCTCCTCAGTAGGTTGGATTACAGGCAGGAGCCACTGGGCATGGTTTTAAAATTTGATGAGAGTTCAGTGGAAGAGTGCTTGCCTAGCACGCATGAGACTGTGAGTTCTATTTCCAGCTTTATTAAATAGGTGGCGATGGAAGCCTTATATATGCATCTGTGTCAATAACAAAGGATGTCTAGCTGGCACAAACCAACTTTCATGTTGGTGAACTCAGCTATCGAGGTACAAGTAGGAAAATGAAGGGACCTGGCCTACCTTTGATCTTCTCTATGAGTAGGTATGGGTTTATGTAAAAAGGACAAAAATGTAAATGCTTACAAAAAATATTTTTCTTCAAAAGATGGAAAGATAGTGTGGAATCTTCTTGAACATTATAAAATGTAAAAAAAAAAAGGAGCAATTCACAGGATTACATTGTTATTTTCCACAGTTAAGGAGTGGTTTAATTGACCTACAGAAAGTAACTTATTTTCCACATTTCTTTTTAATAACTTCTGAGTTTTAATTTTCACTTTAGGCCATTGTTTGTTTATTTTCATGATGAAAATGTGATTTTCCCATAATATATTCTTCTATCTGTATCTTTTCCTCCAATTTGATTTATTAATGATGTCCTATTTTCTCTAGCTTGAAGATGATATTATTGTAAAACAGAATTATTTTAATACTATAAAAAATTTTGCACTTCAACTTTCTTCTGAGGAATGGATGATTCTAGAGTTTTCCCAGCTAGGCTTTATTGGTAAGAAAATTTTCTGACTCATTTACTTTTCTAAAAAACCAAGCTTCAGAACCTTAAGCTAATTGTCTTTTCTGTCCTAAAACTTTTTTCTTTCTTTTTTTTTTTTAATTCTGGGCCTGGGCACTGCCCCGAAGTTCTTCAGCTCAAGGCGAGTGCTCTATCACTTGATCTACAGCATCATTTCTGGTTTTCTGGTGGTTAATTGGAGATAATAGTCCATGAACTTTCCTGTCCAGGCTGGCTTTGAACCTCAGATCTCAGCCTCCTGAGTAGTTAGGATTACAGGCATGAGCCACAGTACCTGTTAAAGCTTTTTTCTATGGAAATGGATTTCTGAGAAAAATTTAACTTAGGTAAAATTCTTTGTATAAAATGATGAAAATGAACAAGACAGAATTTGGAGGTTTCTAAGGTTCTCTGGAAAGAATTACAAGTTCTCTAGAGAGCTGCTTATGCCAATCACAGTCCTGGAAACACATGGGATTTTTTTTTTTTTTTTTGCCTGTTATGGGGCTTGAACTCAGGGCCTGGACTGTCTCTGAGATTCTTTGGCTCAAGGCTAGTGCTCTACCACTTGAGCCACAGTGCCATTTCAGGTTTTTTTTTTAATGTGGCACTAAAGAATCGAACCTGTGGCAAGCATTCTACCACTGAGCCACATTCCCAGCCCCTGGGATTTTTATTAATGTATGAATTCTTGAAATTTTATTCACCGTGTGAAGTTCTCTTTGAGTGGTTACTTTTTTTTTCTTTAACTAGTTGGGATGCTCATTTTAAGAACTTTTGGAGGTTAATTTTCCTAAATTCAGCTATGAAAAAGAATGTTTGAAGCTGAAGAAATGAAAGAATTTACAAATGCTTAAAAATACTCAGAAGTCAGCTAGCAGTGGCTTACCTCTGTAATCCTGGCTACTCAGGAAGCTGAGAACTATGGATCAAGATTGAGAGCCTGCCTGGTCAGATAAATCTGAGAGACCTTATCTCTAATTAGCCAGCAAAATGCTGAAACTGGGGGCATGATTCACATAGTAAAGTGCCAGCCATGAGCAAAAAAGCCAAGAAAGAATGTGAGGCCTTGAGTTCAGACCCCAATACAAGCAAAAAAAAACAACAATAAAAACCACACTCAAACTGGATAAAGTGATGTTCAACTGATCCCAGCTACTTGGAGGTAGACACCTGTCTGAAAAACACTAAAACAAAAAGGACTCGGGGGAATGGCTCACATGGTGGAATAGTTGCCTAGTAAATATGAGACCCAGTTTTGGAGGAGGAAAAAAAGTAAGACCTTGTCATGGTAGCACATACTCTGTCTAAAAACAACTAAGGCTTTTAGTAGAATGCTTGCCTGTCATGTGCAAGGGATCTGGGTTTGATCCCTAGCGCTGCAACAAACAAAACCTAAAAATATAACACAGTAGTATTCTTGAATAGTACTGCCTATAGTACTTTGCAGAGAGTTTAATGTTAGTACTTGGCCTGTAGTTCAGTGGTAAGAACACTTGCTTAGCATGTGTGAAGGCCTGAGTTCTGTCCCCAGCACCAAAATAAAATAAAACTTACTTGAGCTTTAGGAAATACCTCTGCTTTTGAAATGTTCAATGAAAACAAAATGAAGAGACGTTTTTGTTGTTGTGCTCCTCATTTATTGATTTTTAATATCTTTTAAAAATAAATCTAAACCTCTCAAGTTTTTTTATGGGAAGCATCTCAGTAAGATGTGAAAGCAAAAACTTGCTTGCTATTTCCATTCCAATCCTATGAGTCAGTAGTTGTAACTTCTGTAATAGTTTCAGAAATTCACTGTCTACCAGATGTCAGTTGAAGAGAATGTTTAGCTAAAGCATGTTTGTTTGCTTTTGATAACTGTTCATGATGACTGATAGTTGAAAACTCTAAAGTTTCTTTATTACAGCTATTGACTGGGAATATCTTTTCAGGTAAAATGTTTCAAGCACCAGATCTCACTCTGATTGTAGAATTCATCTTTATGTTCTATAAGGAGAAACCCATTGATTGGCTATTGGACCATATTCTCTGGGTGAAAGTCTGCAACCCTGAAAAAGATGCCGTAAGTGAATTCTTCCTGAAGGTGGAAAGGAGCTACTTTTCTATATTTAACTTACAGAAGGGACTTTTAGGGAAGCTGGGTGGGGGGGCAAGTAGGAGAAAAATAAGGGAAGGGGTAACAGGTTTGAAAAGAAATGTATTTATTATCTTATATAACTGTAACACATCTGTACATCACTTTGACAATTAAAAAAACATTAAAAAAAAAGAGGTCTGGGAAGTTGGCTCAGTGGTAGAGCGCTTGCCTTGCATGAATGAGGCCCTGGGTTCAATTCCTCAGCACCACATAAGCAGAAAAAGCTAGAAGTGGTGCTGTGGCTCAAGTGGTAGAGCTCTAGCCTTGAGCTGAAGAGCTGAGGGACAGCGCCCAGGCTCAGAGTTCAGACCCCACAACCGGACCCCCCCAAAAAATATAGAAAAAGAGATATGTGAAAGGACAGAAACAGCAATAAAAGGATAAATAGATCCAGAAAAAAGATTTCAGCTAATTATATAATAATGATGTCTTTCTTCCCCCTCCCCAATATTTTTTTATGTTTAGAAACATTGTGATAGACAGAAAGCAAATCTACGAATTCGATTCAGACCTTCCCTTTTCCAACACGTTGGTCTGCATTCATCACTGTCTGGGAAAATTCAGAAACTCACGGTTGGTTGTTTCTGATGGATGTACAATTTATTATTTAGTGTGGAACTGTTACTTTTCTTCTTAAATATAAATGCTATTTAGTGCAAATATATTCTCTCCCCCTAGGATAAAGATTACATGAAACCATTACTTCTTAAAATCCATGTAAACCCACCTGCAGAGGTGTCCACTTCCTTGAAAGTTTACCAGGGACATACACTGGAGAAAACATACATGGGAGAGGATTTCTTCTGGGCTATCACCCCGACAGCCGGAGACTACATCCTGTTTAAATTTGACAAGCCAGTTAATGTAGAAAGGTTGGTAACTATTGAAGTATATTTGGTCTTAGATTTCAGACCTAGATTTCACAGTCATATTTATAATGTAATTTGTGATAGGATTTTTGTGCATTACAGATGTGAAGAGATAACAGTTCTTAAAATGTTGGCTTATAAATTATATTTAATACAACTAGTTAGTTGTATTAAAGCCATGTTTTCAGATATAATGTCAGCATTGAACACATTTAGTAGATTCTCTTGATATTTCTGGGCTTACATTTAATGAACTTTTTTAGTATTAAAGCATAGTCTCTCAAAAATCTCTAATAGTTTTCATGTCTACATTAGTCAGTTTTATTGTCACCATGATTAAATGTCTGACACAAACCACTTAAGGGAATGTATTTTAGCTGGTGGCTCAGAGGGTTCATTCTGTGGTTACTTATCCCATTGTGAGAAAGAATGTTATGGCAACATGTCAGGAAGCAGAGAGTGAGTAAGGGACTGTGGACCAGGTTACTACCTAGAGACATGTCCCCACTACCATACTTCCACGAGTCCACATTTTCTGAAGTTTCTAGAACCTCTCAAAATAACATTAGCAGAGAACCAATTGTTCAACACATAAGCCTTGGGGGAACATTTCATATTCAAACCATACCACTGTTCGTATCTCAGACAAATACTTAGACCCTGAGAACAAGTTGCTTATCTCAGCAATTTGGTTGAAGTGACAAATTTGATATACCATGACTATTCCTGATATACTATGACTACTTGATGGCATTTATAACTTTTATTCTCTTTTTAATATTTGTGTTTAGTTTACAAAGTTTAGGACTTTTTTCTCCATTTTTTTAGATAGCAATCATGGTTCATGATTCTTTCAGCCTTTTATTTTTTGCTTCTGGGTATACTTAACAGAATGTAGTGGAATATTTAATAGAATGAGGTTTACTATCCTGTAACGTATGGAAATGTCCATTGGCTTTTGTGTGTTCATGCTTTCTTATTTGCTGAACTTGTTTATATTGGGAATTTTTGATAGATTCCTATCAGCCTCAAACAAGAATAGTTTTATTTTTTTTCTTCTCCTATCTATATGCCTTTTACTTCTTTCACTTATTGCAGAGACCGGATCTGCAGTGTTATGTTGACTGACAGTAGTGAGAGAAGGCATCCTTTCTTCTTGATAGCAGGGGAAATGTATTAAACATACAATTAGCTGGATGAGTCAGGTTGTTCGTTTTGATGATACTGGCATTTAAACTTGGGCTTTGCACTCTCCTATCACTTCACCTAATGTTACACTTTCTAGGTGGCACTGAGTTTTTCACTGTGAATAATTGCCTGGTGAATACTTAAATTTTTTTTATTATAAAGATACTGCACAGAGGGGTTACAGTTACATGAGTATATTTCCTATCAAGCATTGTTACCCCCTCTTTTGTTTTTCTCCTGCCATCCCTTCCCTCCCTACCTCCGCAACTCCTCCCTCTCCTCCCCACAAGTTGTAAAGTTTGTTTTCAACATAGTGTCTTATAAGTCTCATTGTTACAATGTGTCAATCTGTATCCTTGTTTCAGCATTTTGTTATTTCCCTTCCCCTCCCCCAATTAGAAAAATGTATATATAAGATGCAGGGCACTGGAATCAAATACAGGGACAACAGGGGAAGAACATACAAAAGAAACAAAACATAGTACATTAAAAACAACAGTGACAAAGACAAAACCTCTTATGTCCCTATCTTGGGATTCATTTCCTTTATCATCTTACATGGTCTTATGAACATAACTTTTGACCTTTTCTGCTTGTCTGGTAAGATTATCCTAGATGTATACTAGTTATTGCAAATAAGGGAAACCATGGGGCCTATGTTTCTTTGGACCTGGCTTACTTCACTTAATATAATTTTTTCCAAATCTTTCCATTTCCTAACCAATGGGGCAATGTCATTCTTTCTGATGGAGGCATAGAATTCCTGTGTGTGTGTGTGTGTGTGTGTGTGTGTGTGTGTGTGTGTATACATATATATACATATACATATACGACATATACATATACGTAGGTATATATATGTATATACACGTATACATATATATACACACACACCACATTTTCTTGATCCACTTATCTAATGAGGGAAATCTGGGTTGGTCCTTTAGCTTTAGTATGGCCTTGTTTGTTACCGTTTGGGTGAATGTCCAGAAGTGGGATTGCTGGGTCATAGAGGGGAGCTCTATGTGGAATCTTTTGAGGAACCTCCATACTGCTTTCCAAAGTGGTTGAACAAGTTTACACTCCCACCAACAATGCAGTAAGGTTCCCTTCTGTCCACATCCCCTCCAGCATCTGTTGTTATTAGATTTCTTGATGATAGTGAGGTGGAATCTCAATGTTGTTTTGATTTGCATTTCTTTTATGGCTAGAGAAGTTGAGCATTTACTCATAGGTCTATTGGCCATTCTTATTTCCTCTTCAGAGAAGTCTTTAGCCCACTTATTAACTGGGTGGTGGTTTCTTTGAGGATTTAATTTTTTTGAGTTCTTAGTGTATTTTAGATATAAGGACCTTGTCTGTTGTATGACTAGTGAAGATCTTCTCCCAATCCATGGGCTTTCTATTGATATTGCTAGCTATGTCCTTTGCCATGCAGAAGCTCAGCAGTTTCATGTAATCTCATTTGTCCAACCTTTCTTTGATTTTTTTTTGTGTTTCTGGGTCTTTATTAAAAAAAATTGGCCTGTACCAAGGAGCCCTAGTTTCTCCTTTTCCTTCCTGTAATGTTTTCCTGTAATGCTTTTACTTTGATCCATTTGGAGTTGATTCTGGTGCAGAGTGAGATCTAGCTTTAGTTTCCTACAGATGTTTAACCAATTTTGCCAGCACCATTTATGGTGAACACTTTTTAATCAGTCTTCTAATCTCTAGATTATGTCCATGTGTACCCTACTATACCTTCCACTAACTACCATTTATAAGTATTACTTGGCTATTTTTTAATATGAAGGGTACTTTTTGTTCTTATAAAATCCTTGGAACAGTCATGATAGGAAAGACTATGACATTTAGGCTTGAAAGCTAACTCAACTTTCTAAAGATGAAAATTCTAGAAAATAAGGTGTTTCTTACTCTTAACCTAAATTTTTAACTAGTTAATATAACTAAAGTTAGATTTATACTTTGTCCTCTCTATTTCCTACTCTTCCCACTAGTTAGTGTTCATTGTCAGAATGTAATAACATTATACTCAGATCCAAAATGTATTTTAGATTATGACAATATATTATAGAATTATTCTTTATGTGTTTTCTAACAATGACAAGTTGAATTTTTCAGATGTTTGAGAGAGGTTAATTTTCAAATGCTAGAATTCTTTGTATTACATAAAGGTAATCTTTGTGGTGGAGGAAGTGGCTGCTGGGAATTAAACTCAGGGCTTTGCACTTTCTGGGCCCCAGGCAAGTGTTTTACCACTGACCCATATCCCAAATCTAAACCTAGTCTTTGAACTTACATGATTTGTGAGTGTCCTAGTAAAAACTTTCTCTGATACGAGGCACTATGGTGCTATGGTTAAGATACTTTGGTAAGAATTTTGTGTTTTTAAAGCATTGTATTAATCTTGCTAGCTATGTCTTTTGCCATGCAGAAGCTCTGCAGTTTAATATAGTCCCATTTATCCAAACTTACTTTAAGAAAGTTTTGGTATGTGCCAAGGAGCTCTAGTTTCTCCTATTCTTTCTGTAATATTTTCAGGGTTACTGCTTTCACTTCAGAGTCTTTGATCCATTTGGAATTGATTCTGGTGTGCGTGATATATAAGGATCTAACCTAAGATTTCTACTCATGTATGGCCAATTCTACCAGTACCATTTGTTGAAGAGGCTGTCTTTCTTCCATACTTTTTTGGGGGGAGGGGACTCCCCTATCAAGGATTAGGTGGCCATAGATCTGTGGGTTTATTCCTGGGTCTTCACTTCTATTCCATTTGTCCTCAGGCCTGTTCTTGTGCCAGTACCAAGCTGTCTTTATTGCTACAGCTTTGTAATAGAGTATTGATAATCTTCCAGCACTGTTCTTCCTGCTAAGGATTCCTTTTGCTATTCAGGGTCTTTTATTATTCCATATGAAGTTTTGGATTGCTTCTATTTCATTAAAGAATCATGTTGAGATATTGATAGGTATTGCATTGAATTTGTAGATCGCCTTTGACAGTATTGCCATTTTCATGATGTTAAATCCTCCCAATGCAGGAGCATGGGAGGTTTTTCCACTTTCTTAGCTCTGCTTTAATTTCCTTTTTCAGGTTTTTAAAGTTTTCATTATAGAGGTCCTTCACTTCTTTGGTTAAGTTGGGAGACGATCTTTTACTAGCCATACAACAGACAAGGGCCTCATATCTAAAATATACTTAGAGCTCAAAAAATTGAATCCCCCAAAACAAATCCTCTAAGAAACAAACACCCCATTAACAAGTGGGCTAAAAAACTTAAAGAGAGACTTATTTAAAGAGGACACAAAATGACCAATAGACATATGAAGAAATGATCAACATCTCTGGCCATAAAAGAAATGCAAATCAAAACAACATTGAGATTGCACCTCACCCCAGTTAGAATGTCCATTATCAAGAAATCTAATAACAATAGATGACTGGAGGGTATGTGGCCAAAAAGGAACACTACTGCACTGTTGGTGGAAGTATGAAACAAGTTTACACTCCACAGAATAGAGGTTCTTCAAAAGACTAAACATAAAGTTACTAAACACAGAACTAGATGAGTCTCATGTTGGAGAGGACTCTACGGATGAGACAGGAATTTCTTTTGAACAAGCAATCCCACTTCTGGAAATTTACTTAAATGACCACAAACAAAGCCACACTAAAGATACCAGCACAACCATGCTCATTGCATCATTATTTACCATAGCTAAAATATAGAACTAACCCAGATGCCCCTATATAAATGAATGGGTCAAGAAGATGTATACATACACAATGGAGTTCTGTGCCTCCATCAGAAAGAATTACATTGTCCCATTAGTACAGAAATGGAAAGACCTGGAAAAAATTATATTAAGTGAAGAAAACCAGGCTCAAAGAATGATAGGTTGCATGGTTTCCCTGATTTGTAATAACTAGAATATGTCTAGCAGGGGATCACAATAGCCCAATCGCTAAGTGCATAGGACCATACATTATGAAGCGTATCAAAAGGAACTCCAAGATACGGAAAAAGAGGTTCTTTTTATGTCCTGTATGCAGTTAATTTTTATTTTTTACTTTCTGCTTTTGTTTTCTATACCCTTTGTCTTGTATATAAGATTATCTGATCCGTGGAAGGGAAAGGGAATCACAGAAACAACAGGACAAAGGATGAACTAATGCAACAGTGATACTCACTAGACAACTATATTAGAAATGAACTTTAAACTGGGAGGAGGGAAGTGGAGTGAGGAGTGGTAAGCAGAAGAAAATGAGAGAGGGGGTAACAGTGTTTAAGAAGAAATGTACTTGTTACCTTACTTTTGTAACTGTAATCCCTCTGTTCATCATCTTTACAATAAGTAAAAAATATTTTTAAAAAAGCATTCTAAACACATAAAATTATTGTCATTCTGGGTTTTTTTAAAAGTCTTTTAAGTACATTGTTATGTTAGATTACAAATATTTCAGCGTCTGGCAGAAAGAATTAATGCATTTCCCTATGGGTTTTATCCTCCAATTTTTAAGTTCCTGTCTTTTTCAGTGAACTGAAATTCAGAATTCTTAACTTGTGCTTTCAAGTTCTACTATTGTTGGTTCTGTGAAGTTAAGAATTCCATTTGGGGAAGAGAAAAAACAAATGGTTTAAATAGGGATGCAGGTTGACCCATTGCAACAATGAGATGTACAAGACGCTATGTCAAAAAACTAACTACAATTTAGACGGCGGGGGGCAGGGGTGGGTATCTGAGGAGGTGGGAGGGAAGGGATGGTAGGGGAAAAACACAGGAGGAGGCAACAATGCTGGATAAGAAATGTACTCATTACCTTGCTCATGTGATTGTAACCCCTCTGTATAGTATTTTCACAATAAAAAACTTAATTAAAAGAAAAGTAGGAATTGGTGCTGTGGCTCAAGTAGTAGAGCACTGGCCTTGAGCTGAAGAGCTCAGCGACAGCACCCAGGCCAGTTCAAACCCCATGACCAACAAAAAAAAAGAAGAGTCCGTGTGAGCAAATAAATATATAGCTTCTAGAAGATTTCATACTTGCACCAAAAAAGTGTTAGAAATCTTCTACTTGCAAAACTTCAATAAAACTACTTTCCATAAAAAAAATCTGTGTGTTTTCTTGAATCTTTGTAAAAATCTGTTTTGACTCACTTTGAACATTTTCTGTCTGTATTTTCAGCTATTTATTCCATAGTGGCAACCAAGAACATCCAGGAGACATTCTGTTAAACACAACTGTGGATGTTTTGCCTTTAAAGGTATGACTGTTTATTCCTCTGACTTTTTGCTGAGGACCAAACCAGGAGGCTTAGTTTGAGGGTAGTCTATTTATGAGATGAGTAAATGCCTCATGATGGAGAGGACTCTACGGATGGGACAGAAATTTCTTTTGACATGTGGACCACTTGGTTGTAATATACCCTCCTGCTTCATTCACAGAGCCTTCATATTGTTTCCTATTGGGAAATACTGTGGATGTTTACGCTAGTAATTGAATCATAATTTTACCTCAGTGTTTTCTTCCTATTTGTATTTTGAATTCACAAACCATGTAGGCATCTTAATGCCTGTTGATAGATAAACAAAGTTAATTTGCTAGTCAGTAAAGGAATACACAGATTTTTTCCAAGTTAACACATCGTTCTTTACCTCTATATATTTTAAATAGGAAATAATGTTGTACTGATTTATTGCGTCTTTTTTCAACCATTAGTATTTTAATGTACAGAACACTTTTACTGGCGTACTTTTAGGCTTTGAGACAGAGGTTCCCTTTCTCTGTTTAGAGATTATTATTTAACAAAGGTTATAGACAGATAAGTGAATTATATTTGTTTTAAATAGAAATAACTACTTTTAAAATGAATACTTTTATTTTAGAGTGAAGGTTTGGAAATAAGCAAAGAAACCAAAGAGAAACGATTAGAAGATGGCTACTTCAGAATAGGTAATGTCTAGGAAAATGTAATCCTGTTTTCTCTACTTGTTCCTAAAGTAATTTTCAGTTATTTACAGATGTTAATAAATTTGCTGAAAGTATTTTAATGAAGGTGGTTATACTATTTATTTGCTCACACGGACTCAGCTATTAAGTTTTTGTTAGACACAGGAAATGAATATTCATAGTTCTTACCTGACTGGTAAGCTTGCTGTAGTTTTTGAGCTTAGGACAAGATTCAAATTTTCCCAAATAAGAGCCCTCACACATTATCATCACCGTGAAACTTAGTTTTTGCTGCAAACCTTGTTTCTTCATGAAGGCTATCTAAAATAGTGCTTCCATACAGAACTATGGTGTCCAGTCACTTTGGTGGCAGTCAGCGTTGTTAACTGTAATACTGAACCCTTCTACACTTCTCATGATATCAAACGTAATAGGAAGCATACAAATTTATTGTCAGGACATCTTCTAAGTCAGAACTATATGCCCAGTAGAGATTTTGGACCTCAGTGAAAATGAAAAAGAAATTTCCATTTTTCAAAATCCATTTAATGGCAACTATTTCCCCAGTTGTCAAGTGGAAGTGATTTATGTATAGTGAAATAATATGCCAGAAGGTGAATATGAGTGAGGTTTAATTAATTCTATAAATAACTTCCAGGAGATGAATATGCTTCATTTAGACCAAGTTTGTGGATTGACATCAGTACTTGGCTGTCTCTAAGCTGTGATAGGACATTTCAAAGGTTGATCAGCATTAATGTGAACATTTGATGACAGGGAAACAATAACTTTGCACTTTTAGTGAAATGTTATCTTAAGGGAAAGGAATTGCATTCTTCTTAGTACATATACACACTTGTTTATTTATATTTAAAATATACTTGTGTTAATATATATTGAATTAAATCAATAAAATTTGGGGAAATTGCATTTTCTCTTTCTGTATGGAAATACCAATCTAATATCTTCAGTTTCCTTTTGGCTTATAGACTGCCCTTTAAGGAAAGTTTGCCAACCCTTGGCCTGGAGAAATTTTCCCCAGAAGGAAACCATTTTCTTGTCACTTTTCTGAGCACTTTTTTTTGTTTTTTTAAAAATATATATATTTTTTTATTATTGTAGAGGTAAAGTACAGAAGGGTTACAGTTACGTAAGTCAGGTAGTGGGTACATTTCTTTTTTAACCATATCAGCTCTTTCCTCATTCATAGTTTTTCCCTCCTGTCTCTACAAGATGTTCAGTTCATTTTCCACAAACTGTTTAGTGAGAACCACTGTTGTCTTTGTTCCACCTTTTTTATGCCTTTTTTTACCCTCCCAAAGACAAAAGGAAAAGAACAAAAACAGCAACAACAACAAAATATCTCATTTCCTTTTCTTGAAGTTCATTTCACAAAATATTATTTTGTATGCTCATATGAACATAGTTACTGAGCCATTGGGATCCACTCCTATGAATATCCACTTTTGGTCTCACTGTGGTATACGTAGAGACCGGTATAACATCAAATTACACCTCGCCCCTGCTAGAATGGTCATTATTAAGAAAACTAACATGCTGGTGGGGATATGGGCAGAAGGGAACCCTACTGCACTGTTGGTGGGAATGTAAACTTGTTCCACCATTCTGGAAAGCAGTATGGAGGTTCCTTGAAAGACTAAACATGGAGCTTCCCTATTAACCACCAGTTCCACTCCTGGGCATTTATCCAGTAGAACACAATGCCGCATTAAAGCGACCAGCACCATGTTCATTGAGACATTGTTTACCAAAGCTAAGATATGGAATCAACGTAGATGCCCCTCAGTAGATGAAGAGATCAAGAAAATGTTGTGTTACATGATGTAATTCTGTGCTTCCATCAGAAAGACTGATATTGTACCATGTGTAAGAACCTGGAAAGACTTGGAAAACATTATATTAAGTAAAGTAAGCCACACCCAAAGGAACAGGTTGCTTCATTTCCTTCATTTTTTTAAAAAAACAGGATATTATTCCTCCATCAAGAAGAATTAAGTACATTAGAAGTTCTTGGTCCCTGTTCCTACAAGGGAGTGTTCTTAGCTTCTCATTTTTGACAGTACTTTATGTGACAATTGCATGATGTGCCCTTGAAAAGTATCCCTGCTCAAGGTTAACTGACTGAAACACTGAAGTTGGTCACTACTCACTTACCCTTCAAAGTAGTCAGACAGAGTGATGTTACAAATTAGATTTTGGTACACAATTTGTTAAAAATCTGTAGGTTAAAAATTGTTGAAGCCAGAAAAAAAATAATTTTTTAAAATTTACAATAAATAAAAGTATACCTCTGCCTAATAAGCTGGTTGTTTCAATGTTTTTAGGCATACAGTACATTAGTGTCTATAGAAATCGTGTATATAGAAAAATTGAAAGTTGAATAAAAGTAGAAAAAGGGGAAATCATTTATTCACTGTCTAAAGATGCCTATAAGAAATACTTTGGTGAATTCCCTCTTTCTTTCAGCCAGTGATACTTCATATGTGTTCATCTCATAGCTAACAAATACTCATTTTTGCTTTGAAGGAAAATTTGAGAATGGTGTTGCAGAAGGAATGGTGGACCGTAGATTAAATCCCATTTCAGCCTTTCGACTTTCAGTTATTCACAATTCTGCTGTGTGGGCCATTCTTAATGAGGTAAGAATAAATCAGTGAGACTGCTAGCTACTATATATGCTCATTAGGCCTTAATTTTGCATGTAAGGACTTTGTAAAATTAACTGCTTTATCATTATTTTCTGTTTCAGATTCATATAAAGAAAATCACCAATTGATCTTCTAAGGAACCAATAAATACTTTCCTCCCCCTTGAACCTGTCATTTAAAGATAGTTAAGCATGTACCTTTTTTAAAAAACAAACAAACTTGAATACTACCTCTTGTGAAATCTACTGTAGATATGACAATTGTCATTTCCACTTGGAAAGTAAACCTCCCATGGATAATTGTATTCATTTGAAACTCAGCTGTCCTCCAATTTTAACTTGTCACAAACATTTTACAATTATGACAGCCTGTTAATATGACTTGTACTATTTTGGTATTATACTAATACATAAGAGTTGTACATATTGTTACATTCCTTAAATTTGAGAAAAACTAATGTTAAATACATTTTATGAAGGGGGCACTTTTGATGTTCATTTATTTTACTATTATAGACCCTCTTTTATAGATTATCAGGGATGATATATATATATAAATATATAAATACACATAAAATGTTATGGAGTTAATTTATTAGAAATACTTAAAAGTACATATTTTTGTGCAGTAAATTTTTGAATCAATACTTTTTTTGAAAACAAGTTACCTTGCTTTTTTAAGTTCTTTCTATATTTTTCTTTGGAAATGCAAACATTACAGATCAATTCCATTTTTCAACTGCACTGCCATTTAAGGTTGATTATAGGTGGATTTCTTAACTTGAAGTACTTTTATAATTGCTGTGATTCTGAAAAAAATATTTTCAAAGGCATTTATCATTCCTTAAAGCCAAGATTTTAAAGACCAATGTCCTTCCTGAGGGTTATTTTACTGTATTGTATATGACATGTGACCACAGAAAACCAGTCTGATAAATTTCAGTGTTTTCAGTATGATGCCCTCAGCCTGAATCACCATACACTTCACCCATTACATTTCCTCTGGTGTGGCAGATGAGACTCTTTTTTCCTTTTTAATCTTTGTTTTTAATCTGTGAGTCAGATACATTGTTTCCTGTTCATTCTTTTATATCTTCAAGTCTAGTTCTGACTGTTTTCTAGGCAATGCTACTGTATGAATCAATAATGGATATAATTTTAAAGAAAAACAAAATTGTAATATTGGTTTTTGGTGAAAGGTATTGTAGCAGTTGTATGTTTTGCCAAGATGATTTATTCTATTGCATTATAAACTGACAAATCCTATGTCCAAGTGAGTGCTTATTACTCCTAAACAGTCAGTTTCAAATAGTCAAATTTCAAATGTATAAAAAAAGAATGTTATCAGAAACTAATAGTTACATGAAGATGCTTCAACAATCAGTAATCTTTACAAAAGTATTTCATTTTAAATAATTATAAATTCTCACATTGGTTCCAAGCCAGTCTGCTTTGACAAAACCAGTAGGTTGCAGGTGTCTTGCCAATGTTGAGCCCTGAGCTTTCTGGGCAGCTCAGGTGATGGTCTAGGGCTGTGGAAAATTCCAGCTGGTAGTTGACAGCCTGCAGAGGCTTTACTCTTTACCAACTATGTAAAACAAAAGCACCAAACAGCCTCATTTTCTGTCTGGTGTTAAGACAGGGAGGTTCAGGAAACATGATAAGTGTTGAGGTTCTTTCTTTTTTTTGTCAGTCGTAGGGGCTAAACTCTGAGCCTGGGTGCTGCCCCTCAGCTCTTCAGCTCAAGGCTAGTGGTAGACACTTGAGCCACAGCATCACCTATGGCTTTTTTATGCTTATGTTGTGCTGAGGAATCAAACCCAAGGCCTCATGCATGCAAGGCAAACACTCTACTATTGAGCCAACTTCCCAGCCCCAAGTTTCAGTTCTTTTCCTTCTATCTTGTAATCATTTTTTCTTTTCTTGATTAAAAAGTTAATCTGTTAATAATGATTTTTATGTCAAATGATTTTGTGTCAGGCTTTATATCCAGCTAGAATCTTTATTTGGGCTTATTAGGCTTCATTTCCTTTACTTTATTTTCTTCTATAATTAACCTAGTGTTCACAAACAAATTTCTTCAAAAAGAGGAATAATTTTTTATTATAAAATGCTGGCACCAGCTTAGATTATTACTAAATTACTGTTCAAGCAACTTAGTAACAGAAGGTAAAAATTCTGTGCCTTTGAGTCCGCTTGTTCTATAGGTCTTCAGTAGCCCACTGAACATTGCCTTCAAGAAAGGCAAAGTTCTGAAAATCTAGGGTGGAGAAAGGATTGTGCTCCAGATGCCATTTGTTATGGCTGCTTGAACAAACTTGTTTAGCTTGCCTTTTTCTGCTGCCACACTTGGCAACTCAAGCTCTGTGCATCCCTCTTGTTCCTAGGAATCCTTTCCACCAAATCTTTTCTTTGATTCAAAGAATTTCTTCCCTCCTTTCGATAAATTAACTCCCAGTAACTAGAGTGTGCAGGGCAGGTTCCAATAAAATCTTGGTGGGCCAATGGGCTGTCCCTGCCATCTTTCTTTTGCCTCGCTTCTTTTGCCAGCCATACTTGCCACACATGAACACACACATATAGGTGTCTAGCTTTGATTGTGTATGGTGTGTGTTCTCTCTTGACAAACTTAGAGCTCAAGGGGACAGCTCTACTTGTGTCCTCCACTACAGCAGATAGGCTGACGCATGGCTGCTTTCTGCAAGCACCGACAGTGCAGGAGCAAAGATTGGAGGAAGGGAAGAGTGGTGGGGCTGGAAGAAAATAAAAAGGTAAACACTTGGCCTTGAAAAGACACGGAACCATTCTTACCAAAATAATGAATGGGAAAAGTATCAAATGGTAAGAATTCCACACACGTGCATGCACACATGCATGCACCCGCACGCGCACGCGCACACACACGCATATGCACACACACATGGCTTGGCATTTGGTGTGCATTTCAGGTAAACTATGTAAATCCTTGAACAGTGCTGGCAGCCACAAGGCACATGGTAACTCTAAATTATTAATGTAAAAAATTTCATTTTTAAAGTATTATTTATACTTTTAAATATACTTTTAATACTCTTAAATGTTTTTTAAACATTAAAGTATTCATTATTACATAAACTTCATTCAAGCACTCAGTGGCCACATGTAGCTAGTGGGTCAGCACATTAGACACTAGAGATACAGAACATAACCATCATTGCAAAAAGTTTTGTTGGCTAATACTGTGAAGAATACAAATGTGAACATTTTAGAAATTAATCCTGATAATGAGGGCAGATGGGCAAAGAATTTGGTGACTGCACCAATAAAAGATTAGGCATAGCCATTTTTAAAAATCATCAGAAAGGCTGGGTGCCAGTGGCTTATGCTACTCAAGAGACTTGAGATCTGAGGATGGCTGTCCAAAACCAGCCAGGGCAGCAAAGTCAGTAAGACTCTAATCTCCAACCAACAGAAAACCAGAAGTGGTGCTGTGTTTAAAAGTGGTAGAGCGTTAGCCTTGAGCAGAAAAACTTAGGGACAGCTCTTAGGCCCTGGATTCAAGCCCATGACTGACCCCCCCCCAAAAAAAAAAATCATTCGCAAAATTGTAAGGGCTTTCCTTTTAATCTTTCATAACTATAAAGAACAAAGTTGTCTCCCAATAATGTTGCCTCTTAAAAAAAGCTTTGGTTATATGAAACCCATAGCAGTTTGGTTATATGTGAACAGCATGTTCAGCTTGTTCCAGTTAATAGCAGTGTATATTTGTAGTAAGCAGAATTCTCACAACACCCCTGTGACCTTGTATAATACCTTCCACTTTGGTTGTAAGTGGAACTGTGAATTATGATCCATGCTACATAGTGAAAGGAAGGTTATCTAGGGATAACTAGTTGAATCTCATGATCCCATTAAAAGCAATTTTCTCAGGCTGGCAAAAGTCAGACAAAGCACCCTTGCTAGTTTAAAAAGGGACTACAGGGAAGGAATACAGGTGATGATGAGCTGACAGCTCTGGCTGACAGCTATGGCAGTGGGATCTGCTGCCCTACAAACACAGGAACTGATTTCCACCTGCACACTCAGAAGATGAATGTCTCCACAAAGTCTACCCAGGTCAGCACCTTGACTACAGCTGTTGGAGACCTCAAACCTGCCTGGATTCTGACCCACAGAACTGTAAGATAATGGATAGTGTTTTACGCTGCTAGAAATATAGTGGTTTATTATGTAGGAGAAAATGAATATATTGTTAAAAGGTTGAATTCCAAGAAGTCTTCCTATTTGATTCCCTACATTGTCCCTCTCCCATTTGGTTTTTTGAAACAGAGGATTTGCTCTGTAGCTCAGGCTGGCCTTGAACTCAATCCTCCCACTTGAGCTTCCCCAGATTTCTTAGAAATCAAATTTATAACATCACATGTTGGTGATTTTATGCCTAGTTCATGGTGTATGCCTTGCTTAAACACAAAGTCCTTACTGATAAATCATTATTTCTCGGTTACAGCTAGGATTCTCTGCAAGAGATCTGTCTCTACTGGTAGTAAAAGTTGCAGTGTAAAGCTGGGGGACATGGCTCAAATAGTAGTAGAGTGCCTAGCAAGCCCAAGGCTCTGAGATCAGACCCCTATATCACAAAAAAGAAATAAAGGTCCAACATTTGGGTAGTGTTCTGTGGAAGAACTGCTAGAATGAGATTGTGGGATGCATAGGATATTTTCCAACATGAGGATTTAGACAGGCTGCTTTGGGGGTGCCCATTAGAAGTATAGTAAAGAATGATAAACAGTGCTATTTAAAATCAAACATTAAGAGGAAAAGTAACTTATGCCTTTAGGTAGGTAGGTTATATGAGGATTTAGTTTTCTTTAGTACAGATCAAACCTACTTGTGTCAATCAAATTGTTGATATTTGAGAATGTTTTCCAAAGTACCCCTGCCTTTGTGCCATGCTAATGAAGTTCATTTTTATTTTGGTTTATCCATTAATCTCTGTGCTTACTTCTGCTATATTGCCAGACTCTTGATGAAAGACAAACCAGAATTAAAGGAAAGATAATGAGGCTAAATACTGTCAAAAGATCACCAATTTATGTAATAATCTTATATTTATGTTATAAAAGATTTTAGATTCCCAATCCAATCTTTTGTAGAGAAGGACTTTTGCCAGGCTATGTAACAATGTTTATGTAAAACTAAAACTTCAATAGTTGTAAAATTTTAAATTATTGATCTTAAAATATATGCTATAACTAGTATGCTTTAGTTTTTTAATGCATGTGAATATACAATACTAAAAGACTACAACAGTATTATTATTAAAGGAAGAATTTAAAAAAGCATCCAACTTAAGATTTTGTTACACATGCCCCATGCCATCACGCCATCACAGCATCTCACCTGAAACCTTCCCTTCTCCAGTTGGAATACTAACTAGATGATTGTCAGGGAACAGCAGGGCAGCAGGAGCTGGCTCTCCAGTCTGTGTGGGATTTAAGACTGTTCCAGACAGTAACAGAATGTTGAAGGGAAGCAATTGTGCAAAGTATCATCCTCACTGTTAACACTGCAGTAAAAATGTACAGACTAGTGGTGCTAAAACTGTTCTAAAATAAGGATTATTTGGTGTGGGGAATATTTTAATACTTTTGGATATTAGGGAGGCTATTTTGTATCACTTGTTCCTAGCTGTTTCATTGTTTTAGTAATTAGCAAATTGTCCTGGAATCAAAGGTTTGGTGTTTTAGTAGTTAGCAAATTGTCCTGGAATCTAAGGTTTGGTACTTAGCTTGATTGGCATTCCATTATGTGAAATGCTGTTTGCTCAAATTTGGTGACAATAACTTTTAAAGATATGTACATTGAGCCTTAAAAATGGCTGATACCGACAGTACTGTACGATGCACTGCCAGCAGATTTGATACTTTTCAGTATAGACAGTAATGTTTTCTAAGGAAGAGTTAGAAGTCTTCTAAGCTTAATGATTAACTCATGGGATAAAAAACTAAAAAACGTGTATTTCATTCAGAACACTTCCTTTGGAAAGGCTGTCTTTGCATTTGAGGATATTTCTGGAAGCACCCTCTGGAGAAGCTGCCTGAGGAATCTCTCCGCTAGGGTTTGCCAGATTTGTTGTTCCTTCTTAAATGTATTGTACATATTTTTCTTAGGATGTCTTCATGGGTTAAACAGTTAACATCCGTAGTAATATTTTAGGTACTTGTTCAACTTTTACAGGAAGATTATTTTCAAGTTTGCTGCTATAATGAAAACGGAATCCCTGGTCCTGTTGACTGTGCCTTCCATCACTGTGTCTCTGTGCCACAAATGTTCATGTGTATTTGAATAAAGACGTTTATGAAGCCACACTGAATGCAAGATGCCTTCTAATAAAAAGGGTAAAACAAAGTGGTTGTTTTTAAACTTCTGTTTAGCACTGATAAAGTAAATCTGGAAGGCCTTAAGCAATGTTTGCTTTATTAGTCTCTTCAACTTAACATATTTCTCAGGTTTGTGCTCTATTACGTGTTGTCAGAGCCTGTACTATGGTGGTTCTTGTGTGAGTTCTACTTTCATATTACTGAAGGCGAGACTAGGGTTGCATGGCCCGTGTTTAAGGTACATGGGGATAGACTACAGGCATGACTGCCAATAATCCTGGTGACTTGGGGAACAGAGGGAAGAGGATACATGTTTGTCTACTAGGCCACCTCCCACTCCCAGTTCAACCTCAGCATCACCTTCCCCACCCCACATAAATGAGGCAGACCCTGTGCCTGTCAACAGGATTGGGTATGTGTGTGGTATTACTATGTCCAAAAATATTTCATATTAAAAATTTGTATTTTTCCCCATACCCTTATTTTATCTATGGCATATATGTGCAAATAGTACATCAAAAAGTATGCTTTAAAAATATTTATTACAGAAATGTACATTTAATTAGTCTTAAGGAATGTTGACAATAGTGTTAACCTGTCACCTTTACAGCTAAAGGATATCTACAAAGATATTTACAAGCTTTACAAAAACTCACTTCCCCAATACTGCAGACAGTAGTATTGCCACTTCTTCACTTCACTCTGTACTTGTAGAAAGAACAGAGAGCATGGGTAAAGTTCCATCCTAGGGCTAGCGACAGCCCATATAGTAGAATGAGAGGTGCAAACGGGTAGAGAAGAATTACTGTGTTTTTCAAAAATGGCAGTGCTAGAAAAGAAACAAATCCAAATTGACTTTTTAAACAAGGAAACATGAACATTCTGAAGTGGTATCCAAAATGAAGGCATCTTTTGACAAATTTACTTTTCTGTTGCTTTCTTCTCACTTAGGACTGAGGACAAACTGTTTCAATGCACAAGGCTGAATGTAAAGCAAATCAGGACAGAGAGGGACCAAGGTCACAACTCTTAATTGGCAGTGATTGCCTATCTTTGACAGCTCTGTTTGAAGAAGTGAGGAAAAAGAGCCATTTGCAATTTCGCAGTATGAAAAGTATCAAAGCTCCACACTCAACTAATATTCTGCGCTTTAGGAAAGAACTAAAGCTTCAAAATATAAACAACCATGTTGCCTGTTCATTGCTTAGTGAGTGGGACCCTGCCCCGCATTCTGACTGAAGGTATATGGGCTGCTCTTAACCGCAGACTGAACAGCACACTGTTCTACAGGCAGAAGCATCAAAAGTTCACTTAGAGGGCTGGGAAGGTGGCTCAGTGGTACAGTGCTTGCCTGGCATGCATGAGGCCTCTGGGTTCCATTCCTCAGCACCAAATAAGCAGAAAAAAACTGGAAGTGGCACTGTGGCTCAAGTGCTAGAGTGGTAGCCTTTAGCTAAATGGCTGAGGGACAGCGCCCAGGCCCAGCAGAGTTCAAGCCCCATGACTGGCAAAAAAAAGTTCACTTAAGAGAACTTAGTGCTTCCTTAAACAACAAAATGCTTTCTTAAAAATACGTGAGGTCATTAGTCCCCTCTGGACTAGAGAAATGACCCCAAACAAGGTGGTACAGTGAGGCTACTTCCCAAGTACCTGGGATCCCAGGCATGCATTTCTTAAGTGAGTAACATAAGACTTTCTCATTCATGTTAAGAAAAACGAACTGACAAGATTGAAGAATAAATACAGGAAGACAGTTGTGGTTCATGGGAAATAACACCAGCCCTGAGCCAAAAAGAGTAAATACAACTGGGCAAGGCAGCTCATACTTATAGTAGTAGCTACTTGAGAGGTTGAGATTGGGGATCAAGGTTCAAGGCCAACATGAGACTAAGATCAAAAGGCCATAACCAATGGTTGAGCATATCCTGTTATCCTAACCACAGGGGAAGTACAGGTAGGAGGATCACAACCCAGGCTGGCCCAGGCATAAGAGGAAGACCCTACCTTGAACCCCTTAAGTAAAAAGGGGCTAGAGGATTGGTTCATGTCAGAACCTGCCTTGCAAACATGAGGCCAGGCTATTCAATCACCAGTGCTGCCCTCTCCCCCCAAAAAGGAAATACAAATACGTTCTGAGATTAGGAAAAGTTGGACCTGATCTTTTGTGATCTTCAGTGATCACAAAACCTAGAAATGAAGCAAAAGTATTTCAGTGCATATAAAGTGGGCCTATACTTTTCCCTCACCCCAGTTTATTGTTAATAACTTGGACCCTGAACCTTGGAGAAAAGAAAAACATTGTCCTGGCCTTCTGCCAACACCCTGGAAATACCACGATGTGTCACAGGCAAGTTAGTCTCTCTCAAAATTTCCTTATTTTTCAAAGGAGGAAGACATGAGATAATTCCTGTAAAATTCTTGAACAGGGCCTAAAGCTTTTCCACTCTGTTAAGTTCTCAATCAACCAAAACATCTTTTAAAACTACTTACCACTGTATCCTAGGAAGGTTACGTAGATATAATAGCCAACTGCAATCAACCATAAAGTATTTCCAACTAAATATCCAATAAATGTATCTGTTAGGATAACATCTGCCAGGAGAAATGCACACCGTGAGTCTGATGTACATAATGAAGACTTTGATAATATTTGAGAAACTACTACTTACGGTTGATGAAAAACAACTGGATAAAATGCAAGATCACTAGGAGTGGATAAAAAGCATTCAGATGCACGTCAAAGGCATAGCCCCACTCTACATCATAATCTCTGCTCTGCCGTTTTACTAAATACTTGTTGGAGATGAACCTGAAAAGCAACATTACAATTTATTGCATTATACAATAAAATTAGTTCTGTTAATACTACCTCCTATATGCCAGACATTATACTGAACTCTGGAGCTACAAACCAAAATCCCTTTCACTCTGGTGGGAGAAGACTAACAAATATAAATAAACATATGAGCCTGGCGCTGGTGGCTCATGCCTGTAATCCTAGCTACTCAGGAGGCTGAGATCTGAGGATCGTGGTTCAAAGCCAGCCCGGGCAGGAAAAGTCCATGAGACTCTTATCTCCAATAAAACAACCAGAAAACCGGAAGTGGCACTGCAGCTCAAGTGGTAGAGCGCTCGCCTCGAGCTGAAGAGCTGAGGGACAGCGCTCAGGCCCAGAGTTCAAGCCCCAAGACGGACAAATAAAAATAAAAAATAAACATATGTCAGACAGTAGCATAGGCAAAACTACAGCAAAGCTGAGATGCATTAAATAGGATGGTTATACAGTGATGTTCAGGTAAAATAGCTAAGGACAGTGAGGACTGGGTAAAAAGACCCAGTGTGCCTCTAAGAAGTGATGTCAGAAAAGAGCCAAAGAGCCACATTGTATGGTGCCTTTGATTTCTGAGTGAAAAAGATCTGTGGAGCTGCAAAAAAGTATCTGAAATTTTTGAGGGGCTCCTTGGTGGCCAATCTGAGAAAGGATACTAGGGACGAGTCGGAGTGGAAACAGAAAGCTACATTGCATAGAAAGCAAGCAGCAGCCTGTAACTATAGGCAGCTGGCAGCGAGGTGAAGTATGACAGCCACATTATAGAGCTGAAGGATTAAGTACTGGATGCGGGGAATGAACAAGAGCAGTCAAAGGTGACAAAGTTTTGCCTTGGAACAAATGGAAGAGGGAACAAGTCGATTTTTGTTCAATTATGTTAAACATGCTTATTCATACAAAGAAGTGTAAAGTCTGCAGTTTAAAGGAGAGACCCAAATGGCAGATATAAACACATCAATGTGTATATATTTAAAGCTATGGACTGGAATGACATCACCAAAACAATAAAAATACAGTAAGTAGATCCAAGACCTAAGATCTATGCTAACTCCCTATTAAAGATGAAGAAAACAGAAACAGAAAGCAAAGAGGGACTAATGACATACTAGACATAAGAAGTTATTCAAGCTTATGTCACTTTCTACAAGTTACCTATTAAATGAAGAGTGAAACAAAGTATAATACACCAACATACAAAAGAACAACAACATACCAAAGAAAAAGAACATCACTTGGTATTGCACGTCTATAATCTCAGCATCCAGTTCAAGGCCAGCCTGGGCTATATAGCAAAACCCTGTCTCTTAAAAAAACAACCCACAAAAGATCATTTTTACTATAAATATATCTGTTGAAACTCAATGTACCTTTTTATGTCATTGCATTTCAATTCAAGGATACAATTAAGAAAATGCTCTTCCTACAATGGAAATAAAGATAGACAATAAAGAAATAGGGAAAACATGGTATAGAATCCTAAACAGTCCTGCACTTAGTTATCTAGCAATGTTAAAATAATACTGCTTCACTGGAACTTCCCAAAACATTGTTTTAGCCAAGAACATGTGCCATAAAAGTTTACAAAATGAAATAAGCTACACACAGAAAGACAAATACCACATGTTTCCCATTCACATGTAAGGTAAAGTTCACCCATAATAATGTGTGATAATGCATTGCCACTAGAGGTTGGGGAGGTGGGGGTGATGAAGGGCAATTGGGTCACAGTTATCAGAATAGACAGAAGTTAGTTCTAGTGTCCCACAGTACAATAGAGGTTGACTATAATTCAAAACAATTCATTATACATTTTATTAAGAACCATAAGTTCAATATTTCCAACACCAAAACATTACTTTTGAGATGGAAATGCTAATCACCTTGATTTGATCCTTATACTGTGTTATCACCCAGAACTCCACACACACGTACAATTAATACAAATTTTGAGTAAGAATATAATTTTATGGAATTACATGTAACTTACTCCCCAGGAAATCCAGCTGCTGCTTTTGTCCCTCTGCTCATCCCTTAAGTGGAACACAGACATTCCTTCAGAGAAATGCCAGCTGCCTACCTCTCCCACCGCCATGTAAGTAACACCACTCATGCTCAGGATCCTAGGCCAGACTGCTGCATCCAGGCTTCAAACCCTCTACCAAAAATACTCAGCTCCCTGAACTCAGCACAGCCAACACAAAAGCTTCATTTACACCTGCCTCTTAGTCACCTATGCCCAAAGCTTTCAGACCATCCCAAGGAGGCCTCCGGCAGCTGCTGCCTCTTCCCAATTCCTTACTACATCACGGTATAGCAAGTTCTTAAATCCATCTCTATTACCACCGCATTGCTCTGGAGGTCTTTTGCCAGGAGCCCCTGGCAAAGGCCTTAACTTCTCTTTCACAGTCATGGGGAAGATTCTTTCCTAAAGTGTGAACTGAATGTTTCTTTCAAAACCATCAAACTATCTATCTCTTCTACCTTCAAGCCACATGCAATTCTACATTTCACCAAGATACCTCATACTAGTTCCTGTGGCACTTCTGGTATGTTATCATTTCCATTTCTAATTTCTCACATGGTTTACAACACAAACTTCCAAAAATGGTATAAAGTTCTTTTCAATTGAACTCAAACTGACACTAACTGTGCTAAACTCTACAATGACTTGTGTTTGGTCTCTTTTGCTTCATTGCTACATTTATGGCTTGCTATAACTTATTCCCTTGAAAGTCATTATTTACTGATTTCTTTTCATGGGTAGCTTGATAATGAATGTGTGGAGTTACATTAGTTAGCTATACTAATTTTACAATTTTAGATTACGGGTGTATAGTATTTGTTACCTACCTAGTACAAACTAAACCTGTGCTGTTTTTAGTCAGATGTTACAAAGGAAAAAAAGGTTGATATAACAGAGATTAAAGTCTTGGGGTTTTGGTTAAAATGTTAAGAGCTATTATTCTACACTGCTTATCATATCACAATGATCTCAAAAGTTGACAAAATAACTCCATTTCATGGAAAACATTAAGAGTCAAGCAATGACTATACAAACACAGGTCTCTGGGACTGCAGTGTTCTACTGAGTTTCTTTTGAGATACAATGACCACCTCCCTCCCTCAGCCACTGGTGACTCTCTACTGAGATCACCTGCCTCTCTATCCAGCAGGCCAAAGACTGAGGAATTTGGTCTATGAGAAAGGTGAAAAGCCAAACACTAGAAGGCACTTTTTTTTTTGGGGGGGGGGAAGAAGAGGGGTTGTCATGGGGCTTGAACTCCAGGCCCAGGCCCTGTCCCTCAGCTCTTCAGCTCAAAGTGAGCGCTCTACCACTTGAGCCACAGCACCACTTCCGGTTTCCTAGTGGTTTATTGGAGATGAGTCTCATGGATTTTCCTGCCTGGACTGGGTTTGAACCACAATCCTCTGATCTCAGCCTCCAGAGTAGCTAGGATTACAGGTGTGAGCCACCGGCGCATGGCTAAGGCACCACATTTGAAGTAACGATGAGTCCTTTTTTAAAGTGTGCTTGTCTGAATGTAAAAGGTTCAAAGTAGAGTTCCCTGAAATAACCCTCTAGATGTAAAAAATCTAAACTGTATGGAACATACATACACCTAGAAATGCTTTCTCACATACAGACAACTTTATCAGAATTAATAAATGTGTGATTTTCTGTAAATTAGGGATTTTTGTTAACATGCCATAATCATTTCATTGATTTTTCCTACTGTGGCAATATAGAGCATCCCTTAAATATTATTTTCAGATACAGGTACTGACACACATAATGATGGTTACAATAATCTTGGCAGCCAACCATGATGGCTTCAGTTAATTGACTTTGGTTTCAATCAACTACTGTACTTTTAAAGCAAAAAAAATGGAGGCACTACAATATCTGAAAATCCAAGTTACAGTACTTACCACATTAAAGTTGATATCAGAAGGCCAACGCCTACACAATCTATGAATACCACCCATAGAAGAAGCTTTATTGTCTCAAAAAATCCCATGTCCAACACGAAGCCAAATCCTATAGTGGACACTGAAAGAAAAATTTACAAGGTTTATAACAAGAGTCACTGAAGGGACTCTAATAGGTTGTAGGGGTACAGGACACATTTCCTGACCACCAGAAGCCCATAGTACAGTAGGGACCTTTCACTAGTGGTTAGGGTGCTTTTTAACTTCCTTGTATTACCTCATCATGATGGTAAACAGGTGTATATAAAAAAAAAAAGTCTACCCCTTAGCAACAAGAAGAAAAAAATATCACCTCTGAGGTTAGAATAAAAAATGAGCAGACCACCCTCCCCAGTATGACTGCCTAGCTATGAAGAGAATAATGGCAGGACACATTTCTGAAAAGGCAGGACATACCTCTGTACATCAGTAAAATACCTTGATTAAATCTCCTAAATCTCTGTATGTCTATTCATTTTCTCACACCAGAAGGCTGTGTGTTTCCAACAATAGAGCCTTGGGTTCCATCCCAGAATAGTAAACTAACAAAACAAGAAACAGACTGAATTCTGTTCTCTGCCTTGCTAAGGCTTGAAATAGTGGCTAACTTCTCTTGGAATGTGTAGAACCAAGAAGGCAATTTACTTTTCTGTTGAGATTCTTCAGAAAAAAAATAAACAAAAAAAGCCCACACAGATTCAAATATGCCCAAATTCTAACTCACAAGATAATATAATGGAAGATAATCCAAATGACAAGCCTAATCTGAAACACTCAATTTGTTCAACACTATGGCAAATAAACAGGCACTTACCACACAGCCAGACACTTAATAAGACCAAGAAAGCAGGGTCATCTCTGGCCCACTGGTCCTTTGTCTGTTTCCGGTAATGAAAGTTCCTGTAAACCCTCTGTGGAGAAGTGAACAGGTAGAGCATTTGCCAGGCAGCAAACTCAAAATCCATCTGCCGAAAACGAAAAAGCCTTCTGAGGTATTTGTAGCGTTTGGCTCCAGCTGTGTGTCTTGCTGCATCTCTGGAATTCAAGACTCCATTCCCCTGCACTGAGGAATTCACTGAAGTACTTGGTAGCATCTTTCTACAAGGAAGAAAAAGATATTTTTTTTCATGCAATCTGAAGAAACATTTGGCAACTAGCATGCCTCTTCTGAGTTGCTTAGCTGGAAACTTATTTTACACTTTCTCCTTCACCCCTCAGAAGAGCCAGGGGCCAAAGCAATGAAGTTGGTTCTGAGGCTTGTCTTGGGGTTGGAGGACTGCTGGATTGCACTCCATAAGGGCAGCACCGCGCCCTTCAGAACTATCTAGTAACACTTAATCCGGGGCCCATGTTTCCAAGCTTGACCTCACTCAATCTTCACACACTCCTGCCAGATAGATGCAGTCCGTGGAAGGTGAGGAAAGGGGCACCGGTAGGTGAAGACAACGGTGAAGAATGGAACTCTGGCCAAAATTCCGTGTGGTTAACGACCAAGCCTTTGAGGCACAACTTAAGGCTGACTAGAAAGCAAGATTGATGAAATGGTGAAATCGCTTATTCACCCACGTCCGTCCACGATGGCCGGCAAGCTGACCAGACGTGATCCACCAGTTCCTCAAAATGTAATGTAGCTGGGGGTGGGGATTCAGACTCTGAGGCCTCTGAAGAATACATTTTTTTTAATGTAACAACAAAACTCCAATCAATCCCTGGTTTTTTAACACAAAGAACAGTTAAAGGAGGAGTGACCCAGTGGGAAGCCAGTCCACACGAGTCCTGGGCTGGGGCAGCCGCGGTCCCCACCGCCGGCCAGCAGCGCCCCAGGCCGGCGCCACGGACTAAGAAGCCACGAGCAGGCTTGGGCCTGTGCACGCGCGTGTGTATGACGGATGTGTGTGTGTGTGCACGGATCGGTGGTGGGTGTGAGTGTGAGCGCGCGCCGCACAGCAGCAAGGACACGCTGAAACCAAACCTGTCCCTGCACCGGCGGTCCGGGACCCCGGGCGCCCCGGCCGGGTCTCCCCGACGCCCGGGCCACCAGCAGCCGGAAAAACAGCACGGGCTGCTGCCGGACAGAGCACTCCCGGGGCCTTACCTGACCCTGTGGTCGCGTCGACCTGGGTCCGGAAAGCCCGCCAACTCCGCCACAAGCCGAGCCCACCCAGGGCCGGGGCCCACTTCCCTCCCCGCCACGCTCCCGGCGCTCCGGCGCCCCGCCTTTACGTCACCGGCGCCCACTTCCGCCGCGCATGCGCCGACTCCTGGGGACGCGCAACTCTTCCGCCCTGACCTCCGCTTACCTACCGGAAACTGGCGGTGACCCCTCCGGGTTCCCTCCGGGTTCCCTCCTCTGTGTGTCCCAGGGGGGGCTGTAGTCGCCGAGGACGTCGAGGGTCAGGCCTGCAGCTGGCCCGGGGCGCGGTGATGCCCCGGTATTACGAAGACAAGCCGGAGGGCGGCGCGTGCGCGGGCGTGAAGGAGGACCTGGGCGCCTGTCTGCTGCGGTCGGACTGTGTGCTCCAGGTAGTGCGGCGGACGCTCCCGGCCCGCCCCGCCCAGGGGGGAGATCGCCTCCGAACCCGCCCCGTCGGGCTTGGCGAAGGCTCGCGTCGCCTCGGGAGGCATTTCTGGACCCTGGAGGAGGCGGGTGGGGTTCTCTGGGGCTAGGAAGTGAACTTCCCGTGGCATGAATGAATATGCGCTACTTCGTGCACCTGTCCCACGGGCGAGCAGGGTTGGTGGTGGTGCCTGGATGGTGTACCACGATGTGTTTTTGGCTTGTTCGAATTTGTCTCTGAGGTGAAGGGCTCTACATTTCGGGATGTAGAGCACACTCCCACCCTTAATTCTTCGCTCACTGCAGCCTTCTCAGCATCTTAGAGTGATATTTAGTTGGCTTGGATTCTGATTGACAGCCTAAGTAAAGCACTGAAGCCCTTTCTAATTTGAGACCCATCGGGAGGGCAGCGATGATTTTTGCATCTGGAACTGCCCTTTCAGAAAGCTGCTCTCATTTCAAAGAACTGTCAGCAGCACCAAAATGAACATCCACCCTGTCTGTGTCAGTGTTTCTGTTGGTCCCGATTTACATTTGAGTCGCTAATTTTAGCAGTCGGCCACACTTGATTCCCAGTGTCTTCATAAGGCTCCATAGAATATCCGGTTAACCCTGGGTGATCACGAGAGTCTAGGGAAGAGCAGATTCAAGAGACATCTCTGGAGTTGGTACGGGGTTTTATGACTTCTGGGAGATCAAAAGATTGGAACTGCCACAGGAAGCTCACCACAGGACTCCTATTTGTGTCTCCATTAACAGCTTCCAGACCTGCTGACTTGTCTTCAAAAATCATTTGGCAGTGGAGACAGGAGAGCTTTTTTTAAAAAAATTTATTTTATTTGTGAACATACTGTAGAGACAGGAGAGCTTTAAAGCAAATTCCACTGTTATTCCCACCGTGTCTCTCAAGTCAGTTTTTAGACATAACCAGGTTTTGACCTCAGAAGGCAAAGTTGTTATAATTACTGTCCTAATAATAACTTCAAGTATATGATACAGACACCCAGATAAAGTAGTTATTTCTTATAAGCAAGGCATGGTGGCACAGGCCTATAATCCCAGCACTCAGGAGGCCGAGGCCAGTTAACTGTGAGTTCAGGCTACATAGTGAGACTCTACCCCCAAATAAGCAAATAAAAATTCTCACTTTCACATATAAATAGGGCCCAGGAGTTTCCTTCAGTCTTCCAGGGATTCAGACCGTTGATTTTGTGACTGCAAGTTGTGAGGTTGTAAGGATTGTTTCATTGGTCCAAGTGCCAAGCCTCCATATCAGACTCCCTAACCTTATGGAGTATAGTGGAAGGAAAGGGCAAGCCTCTTTCCTTTAAGGACTGACCCAGAAGTTTTGCATCTGTTACCTACACATTATTATTAGCTAGATCTTAGTCACATGACAGTATCCTGCTGTAAGGCAGCCCAGCCACATGCTTGATAAAAAGGATATTAAGGAACAACTAGCAACGTATCCCTGGGGGGTAGGAGGTAAGTATCAATCTTTTTCTCTTGACTTTGGTGTATCTAGATGGATCTTTTCACCTGGTAGTTAACGTTAAAATGTAGTGGCTAAGATAGTGTTTGGGGAGGCATCAGCTTACAAATCATACAGTCTTCTACATAGGTTAGTTTTGTGTTTTTTTTGGTCTGACTTCACATTGTTCATGCGGGCAACAACCGCCATCAGCAGTGTTACAGAGCTGGAACTTAGTGCAAGGAAGCTTGCTACCAGGATAGTGAGATGATCACTATTTCAAGTTGACACTTGAAATCTAGGTCCCAAGCATACAGACTAGGAAGTGGCAATGTTCCCAGTAACAGAAATATCAAAGACATGGTGCCCTGTAGCTTTTTTCAAGTTGAAAGAATGGCTATTTCTAGTAAAATAAGGGTGTAGGGAGTAGTTGGGCTGGTAGGACTGGTGAGTCAAAATTTGCTTGATGATTTGCCTGGCATCAGTGGCTCATGCCTGTAATCCTAGCTACTCAGGAGGCTGAAATCTGAGGAGCTACTCAGGAGGCTGAGATCTGAGGATTGCGGTTCAAAGCCAGCCCAGGCAGAAAAGTCCGTGAGACTCTTATCTCCAGTTAACCACCAGAAAACCATTAATTGGCACTATGGCTGAAGTGGTAGAGCCCTTGCCTCAAGCTGAAGAGTTCAGGGACGGTGCTCAAGCCCCACAACTGACAAAAAAAAAAAAAAGACCAAAAAAAATTGCTTGATGAGAAAACCCTGACTCTGAATTTCAACCTGACAATTTGACTTATATTTTCCTGCAAGTAATTTTCTAGCCTACTTCATTAACACTTAGGAAATGATTACTAGCAACATTAAAAATGTTGTGATTCTAGGGTTTCTGGCTCAGTTTTCACCCATAAGAAACAAGATTCTAAATTTTAATATAAGCATAATAAAAATTTTCACATGGAAACTAGTGTTTTCTAAAGTTCACAGACTTCCTTAAAGTGCCTAAGGTCAAAAGTTTTTTTATTCTATCCTTTTCTTTTTAAGTACCAGCAGTCAAAATGAATTAAGATTTCTTATGTAATTGTCTTTCTCTTTTAATATTTTATTAAAAATAACTTTTCAGGACGGTTGTTTTGTGCTCTGTGCAGAGATGTCCCTTATGTTTATGTTGTTCTGTGTGTCGCAGGAAGGAAAATCCCCTCGGCAGTGTCTGAAGGAAGGATACTGCAGAGCTTTGCAGTATTCATTTTTTGAGTGTAAAAGATCAATGGTAAGTGATTAAAGGGTTTTGCAAACATGTTAAAAATTAGCTTCGTGGAATTACATGTGAGCAATTTAATAGTCATAAGTAATGATAGTGTTTGGGGAAAAAATGATGTGGATATTATTTCTTATTGCAGTGAATTAAATGTGAAACGGCATTCATAAAAGCTCCTAACCTGTAATCTCTCACCTTGCTAACCACAGCTGCGAACCTTCAAGAGTTTCTTAAAGTACAAAAAAACAGAAAGGTATAAAAGCAGGTGGTTACTGTCAATTCAGATCATGTATCAGTTATACATAAACTTACAATGTCAAGGTGTGAGGTATATACTCTTCCGTCTGCTTTATGTGACCAGAGAGAAATGTCAGTATCTTGGCTTTAATTTTAAATTTGATGGATTGTGGAAGATATCACTAATCTGGAGCTCTGTAGTACATTCTTTGATTTGAAAAATGTACAATGATCTTTGGAATGGAAAATAAGAGGCTTTTCTTGAAGAGAGAAAAATATGAAGTCAGAAATTTGACTTGGCCCAAAGTCTGCATTTAGAAACCATATGGTAAAACCTTTCCTTTTGTTCACAGAGGACAAAGATTATGGGTATTTATGAGCCTGGAGGCCAAACAAAGAACATGAGGGTGTCAGCTGATCATCTAGCAAAGATATACTTAATTTTGGCCATGCTGTGTCTTTTGCCAAGTGGCAGTTCTCTAATGTATTTTCCTGTTATTTAAGGTATAGAAAAGGATATTCTTGCCGTCCCTCTCTAGTTTTGTTACTCACATAAATGCAAGCCTAAACTTATTTTTTCAGTTTACCTTTTAAGAAATTTTTAACAATTGAATAACCTGTGCCAGTGCTTCTGGCAAACATCACTTTGCCCTCTGACACCAGAAGAGCAACCTGGGGAACTGGCTGGCCTATGCGCAGATTTTCACATGCTTCCTACTAGACTGATTCACTCCTTGTTTCCTCCCTCCTCCCAAATGAATGGAGTGTTGCCACACTTAATGCTGGCAACTTACAGGCTTGGTAAAATTGAGAAACATTTAAATCTTGTAGGTACTTCTGCCTACTGTTTTAGAGATTAAATCCTGTTCAGAGTACATGAGGATTCAAATATGTTGTTAGTCTGTCGTGGGGCTCGAATCTAGGCCTGGGCACTGTCCCTGAGCTCTTCAGCTCAAGATGAGTGCTCTATCCCTTGAGCCACAGCGCCACTTCTGGTTTTCTGGTGATTAATTGTGGATAAGAGTCTCATGGGGATTTTTTTTCTGCCTGGCTGGCTTTGAACTGTGATCTTCAGATCTCAGCCTCCTGAGTAGCTAGGATTATTTATGGTCACTCTTATGTTCCATTGTTTTCTGAAAATATGGTTCTTGTACTCAGACCACTAATGTCTGCTCCACACTGGTTGCATTGACTCTTTGATAGAGCTAAAAAAAATTACTTTCTATGGGATTTGTGGGCAGCAGTACTGTCTAGACAAGTCTTAGACTGCCTTTAGAACCTTCCACTCTGCCTACCACCCTTCAGAAATGGGCGCATTGTGAGGCTGAAGTCAGTCACTGTCAGCGCAGGAGGAAACTCACAGTGAAGATTTCAGATCCCAAGATATCTTGACTGTGTAGACTCAATATTTTCAGGGTTCTTTCCTCTTTTCTCAGTTTTTTATTTAAAGATGTAAAATACATTTGTATACTAACCTGAACAAACTGGGAAAAGGTAAGTGTAATTTGAATTCTCCTTGGGATCTTCTATTAACCATTAAGTGATTCTTAACATTTTTTTTGGGGGGGGAGGAAGGGTCCAGTCGTGGGGCCTGAACTCTGAGCCTGGGTGCTGTCCCTCAGCTCTTCAGCTCAAGGCTAGCACTCTACCACTTGAGCCACAGCGCCACTTCCGGCTTTTTTCTTTTTG